AACTCAAAAGTCAAGGGCAGGCACAAGATGCTCAACTTGCACCAATCCTACCACAAGATCAAAGCATCCATGACCAGATTCAAGCTGCGCAGCTCCAGGATGAATTATGCAAGGATACAATCCGAAGACTACAGAACAACGAGCGAGATAGCCCAAATATAGCCTTAGCACATTGCGAAGAGAGAAATGGACTCCTACTCTACCAAAATCGAGTTTGGATCCCAGAAGACGTCAAGTTAAACTCCTTCATGAGGTTCAGGACCAGCCAGCAATGGGACACCCTGGAATTGGGAAGCTGATTCGAATCATTAAGAGACAGTACTACTGGCCCCGGATGGACAAGACTATCACTCAATATGTGAGGAATTGCCATACCTGCAAGAGATCAAAACCAACCCGGGACGCATACAATGGACTCCTACAACCAATCCCAATTGGAAGCCAACCATGGAAGGACATATCACTCAATTTTATTACAGGATTACCATTATGTGAAGGAAACAATTCTATCCTTGTAGTAGCATGCCGACTTACAAAAGAGCGCCATTTTATCCCATGCTTTGCAGGTAAAGAAGGCACTACAGCAGAAGCTACAGCGAGGTTACTACTCCAGCATGTATGGAAACACCATGGTTTACCAAATTCCATCATCTCAGACAGAGGGCCCCAGTTTGTAGCTGCAGTGTGGAAAATCCTCTGCAAAGTTTGGAAAGTTACAATCAAATTGTCTACAGCCTTCCACCCAGAAACGGACGGGCAAACTGAAAGGTTTAATGCAGAACTCGAGCGATATTTACGGGCTCATGTCAACTATCTCCAAGACAACCGGGTTGAATATCTTTGCCTGGCTGAATTCGCAGCAAATGCCCTTCCATCAGACTCAACAAAAGTTAGCCCATTTTTTGCAAACAAGGGTTTCGAGCCAAGAATGAGCTTTGATATAGAGGATAGCACATTCCAAACTGCCCTTCAAGAACATAAGGACATAGCTCAAAACATGAAAGATATTTGGGAATTAACATGGATATTATATTATCCATGTTATCCATGGATATCCCTTTGGCACGATGCCACTATATAAGTAGATAGTATTTCCTTAGATAGGAGCTTCGTACTCAACTCAATATAGTATTCTTTACAATACTGTAACATGTTACTTGAAAAACCTTTGTGTCTAATCCCCTGCCTCCTCTGTCAAGTCAACCTTACGCAAGAAACCTCTGTATCTTCTATCGTTTAGAAGTCAGCATTACACTTACAAACTCGACTAGCAGTAGTCGTAGATTCTAGTAGAGTCTCTTCTACACGTAGTATTTTATATAGTAATTAAATTATATAGAATTACTATGGCTATGGCGAAGGTTTTGTTAAAGAGTAGCGGTAAACATATGGCAAGTTGTGAGGTGCTGCATCTTGATTCCTCTTGCGTGAAGTGCTGCAACTTGCTTACTCCAACCTTAAGCGAAGCGAAAAGTTTGGTCATAATGATTATAATACAGTAATCACTGCTTATAGTGGACTCAGCTATATCAGAAACCTCCTAATACCAGACCCCTTCCTATAATCATGCGAATTTTGTATAGTAATACTAGAAACCTCCTTATACTAGAATTCTGGCTAAGATCCTTAACTTCTAGTATAGAAAATGGCACCTCACCACCTAAAAAGCCTCGGATCTCAATTACGAATGCACAAAAGCAAGCTTTACAAGCTTGGTACTATGATCCTACAACTCAGAGCATAAAGAAGACATTAGCAGATGCTTCAACTTAGTAGAATGATCAATATGGACATATTTTGAGCTCTTCGACTACAAGTGAAAGACTATCCTCAAAATGTGCCTCTCTCGACACTACTACTTCTACAAAAAGCATTTGATAATACCAAGAAGACAAGGAAACCAAAATGGGAAGTGTTAGAGAAAGCTCATAGAGAATGGGCTTTACAATTTGATGCTACTCATGGCATTGTTACAGGAGATCTTCTACGGATAAAAGCAACAGAATTCTAGATACAGCTACCACAATACCATGGACAAGATTGCCCGACATGAAGTGAAGGATGGCTTGAAGGGTTTATAATCTCTGTTACGATTACAGCTCACAGCTTGTCACAGCTTGTTACAGTTGTTACGGTTGTTACAGTTGTTACGGTTGTCACGGTTGTTACGGTTGTTACGGTTGTTACGGTTGTTACAGTTGTTACGGTTATTACAGTTATTACGGTTGTTATGGGGATTACGGGTGTAGCCTTAGCCACCAAGGTTACAACCGCTAAGCAGACAACTGTATGTTATGAGGAATAGCCTCACCTTCCTTCCTTCCTTCTTCTTCTTCTTCTCTCTTTAGATTCAATCTAGATTACTTTTCCTGGACTGGCATCATGACCTCTATGACCATCGTAACAATCTCCACTGCTAAAGAAAAGTTAGAGAGGCAAGCTCTGTGGAAATCACAACAGAAGTAACATAGCAGATGGACAACATCTGAGCAGTTAAAGCGGGAATACCTACCTTGTGATGTTTACAATATGGATGAGACTGAATTTTACTAGAAAAAATTACCAAACTTAGGATTATCAACTTTGTCACTTGGGAAAAAAGTTGACAAAACTCGAATTACAGCTAACGTGGTTTATCAGTACGTCGGACATATCAGTACCTCGGACACTTTTCATTGGCATTCTACTTTGAATATCAATAAATCAACCATAACATATTAAATTAACTATAACTAAGCGGAATCAGATGAACTAGACATATCTATAGCTTCTTGACAAGTTCGCGCATTATGACCAGCTTTTCCACAGATCCCACAGCATCGCCTAGACGGTTGCCCCTCCTTGCGACTACCCCCAACCGCACGTACGTCGCGTCGTACCTGCTCATCCACATCCTTCTGTGTGATAATAGCCTGTGCATCCTCTACTATAAGTGCACCTCCTTCACGGACACGAGCCTTTTTAGCCCTGCGGCGTTTGCTAAGGGCTTCGTTGGCTGCTCGAAGGGTACGTACCTCAGCAGACAGAAGGGTGTTCTCATGTGCTAGTCGCTCCGTACCCTTTGCCAATGCAATAACTGTCCCGAAGAGTGGAGTTGGCGAGCTTCCTTGGTGACGGGCAATTCGATTTCGAACGAGGGTTGAAAGAGCTTCAGTTGGGTTGGAAGGGGTCTGGGAGACCCAAGGGTTGGTATTGGCAGTAGAGGGTCTAGAGGGAGTTGGAGTCCGTAACCTCACGTCAAGCTTTGAAAGCACTGCTTGCGGGTCGAAAGGCACTAAGCCAGCTCCGCGGAACCTGGACTGGGCGTTTTGGGCTGTCATGGATTCCAGATATGCTGCTCTAAAGGCGAGAAAGAACTTGACCTTGGTAATGTGGTTGATATGAGCCTTAATGAAGGTCTCAATCTGCCGACCATATGCCCGCTTCAACACACTAAAGCACCCGACATCAAGTGGCTGAGTTAAATGAGACGAGTGGGGAGGTAGTCCAAGAGTTATAATGTTGTGTGCCTTGCAGTACTCTTGGAACTCGGCCGATTCATGACTCTCGTGCCCGTCTAACACCAGCATTCGATATGGACCCCTTGCACGAACAGCATATGTTTGTCGAAGTGTTTCAACCATTCTAGACCCGTCTCATTGTTTGTCCATCCATTGCTTGTCGGTTTAACAACCCAGTTGTGTGGAAGGCCGCCGTCTGTATACCAATTTGCAAGATGATTCTTGCCTTTAACTACCAAAAATGGAGGAATACTCCAGCCGTCACTGTTGATACAAGCAATCGCTGTAGCCCATTCCCGATTCCCTGGCTGAACTGCCTTACCTCTGCCAAGTCGATCTGCATGGGTAACAACCATTGCAGGGCAAATCACACCCATCATAAACCCAGTTTCGTCAAAGTTATAGAAGTCGCAGTCCAAAACACCATATTTTGCCCTCATATTTTCCACTAGTCAAAACCACGCGCCAATTAGTTCAGGATCTTCGCACAAGGCCCTTTGGAAGTTGTAAACGCGATTAAAACGCGTCTTTAATTCTGGACGTCGTTGTACAAATCGGTGGGCCCAGAGCTTCCCGACGCGCCTCCCTCCACGCGATTCGAGTATAAATTTGCCATATCTTCTACACCAGCAAGCCGGGGTGCAAATCCTCTTGAATCCATATCAAGTATATTCTGAATAACCACCTCCTCTTCTAGTATAGTTAATTTCATCATTGCAGGCCGGCGTTCGTAGACAGTAGTTCGGCCGTTCATTCTGTCGCAGAGTGTAGAATGAGGTACTTCATAGAGCTTAGCAGCCTTCCGACGACTTAGATTTTTTGATGTTCGGATAGCCTCGATAGCTAGAATGATTTTTGCTTCTTGGGTAATCACTGACATAATAAAAGGTGGAAAAAACGCGTTGTGAAGTTAGAGGTAGGAAATTCGGGAAAAGTGTCCGAGGTACTGATATGTCCGACGTACTGATAAACCACGTTAACCTCTGCTGTAATGAAGATGGGAGTGACAAAGTTCCAATTTGGTTTATCAGAACTGCTAACAACCAAGATGTTTTACTCAAAATCATAACTCGGATCCTAAAAACCTTAGAATACATTAGGGATGGAATTCAACAGCATAGATGAATCATTTCATTATGATTGAATGGTTACAATGGTTCGATAGTAGAGCACAACGCCCTGTTCTACTGTTAATGGATAATTTCAGTGCCTATGAAGTTGTAATAGAATGTCTTATAGATAACGGAACTCTGTTGAAATGGACGCAAGTTATGTGGTTTCCTCTAAACATAACGACAATTTATCAACTACTTGATTAAGGGATTATTCAAAATTGGAAGTGCTATGTACAAGAGCTTCAAACAAGTATGAGTACATTAGCTGAAGAGCAAAGGATTCATAGGTATAGGGCCGAAACTCTATATACCGGAAGGCAAAACTCGAACCGACCCATCCGTTATAGGCAGTGATTACTGTAAAGGTAACTTAAGGTACTTTGGGAAACTATTGGTTTCGGCTGTCTCTGTCCATGTCTCTCTGGTGTCTCTCGTTGTCTCTCGTGTCTCTAACATCAGAATCATCGTAAAAAAAAAAAAAAAAAAGTGACTTAAAACCTAAAAATAACAAAGTGACATACGTGGGATTAATCGGCGACAATCCAACGATTTAAATAGGCCATTTGCCTGCCACCTTCACGTGTGTTACTCGTATTTTCGCGAGGGCGCGCAACAACAAGCCGAACAAACACCACGCTCCTGTTCCAGTATCACCCCCGTTTAATTGGGCAAAACACTCTGCCAAAACACCGAGCTACAGCTATCTATCAGCTTCAGCCACGAAGCTGTTCAACGAGGCTGACGTCTGACGACCCCACCCATCACAATCATGTTGCTGCCAGAGACCATCACGGCGGCGCAGTTCGACAGCACGCTCCTGTGCTACCCTGTGCTGCTCAAGGCGCTGTCAGCGAGTAAGACCGGTACGTGCGCGCCCTTCCTGCCGACCCTGGGCAGGTGCGTCGAGATAATGCGGCAGTGAGATTGAGCTGACGCGCTGTTTGCCGGGGTTGCAGTGAAGGGAGATGCGGAGAGCCTGGAAGAGCTCGATTGGTTTCGCTTTATGAGCGCGCCGAATCGGTATATGAAGAGGGAGGGCGACAAGAGGGATGTGCCGCTCGAGAAGGGCGATGTGGTGAGGCTGGTGAAGTGGAAATTGTAGGTACTTTTCTGTTATCACGTCGATTCCCCCCCCATGTCGTCATTGTTGGTGTTTGCCATCGTTCCCATGTTTGTGAGCATCTCTATGAGAGGAATGGTTACATTGTCGGCTTCGTTATACTCGCGTTGTTTGTTTCCAGTCCTGTCTTTCAAGTGCTCGTTCAACCTCGTCACAGCTCCACCACTGCCATTTCTTTTCTCATCACCATCTCACAACACCACCCCCCTTATAATCCAACCTCTCCTAACAACCCCCCCCCCAAGAAAACATGGCAAATTCCGCCCCAACCTCCTCAAGCTCGTCTCAAGCAACAGCCCCGAAGGCGTAGCTGCCACCTCCCTCGCCGCCTTCGCCATGAAAGACAACATCTCCGCCATACGCACCATGTCGCTCCTCAGCGGCGTCGGCCCCGCCACCGCCTCTCTCCTCCTCTCCGTCCACGACCCCGACAATGTCATTTTCTTCTCCGACGAAGCGTTTCGCTGGCTCGTCTGCGGGGGGAAGGAACAGAGTATCAAGTATAGTTTCAAAGAGTATGAGCAGCTCGAGATCCGCGCCAAGGAACTTATGGAGAGATTAGGCGTTGGCGCGAGGGAGGTGGAACGAACAGCCTTCGTGATCATGAGAGGAGGCGCCGAAGAACTCAGACCCATATCCGCGGCCTCAGTCCAAGAATCCAGAATCACGCCCTCCCAGCGACGGAAATCAAACGAAGATCCCGCCCCAGCAGAGCGCACCTCCAGCCACCCCACACCACACAAATCAAAATCCACGCCAGTCCTCAAACCCCCCAAGACGACGTCCAGCGAATCGCTCTCTGCGCGGAAACCGCGCACTCCGCGCCCAAAACTCCCCGAGTCCGAGACCCCCGACCCGAAAACCCTAGCGCGTCGCGCGTCCCAACGGCTCCGCGATGCAAACCCCCCGCCTCCCTGCCCAGAGCGTCCACGCACCACGGAAGAAAGGCTCGAGACCGTGCTAGAGGATCTAAAATGCAAAGGCGCCGCGCTAGCACGGGTAGTTAGCCCGCCTCCATTACGGAATCGGCAGTTTGCGCGCGTCGGGGGAGACGAGGGGTGTAAAGGAGTGATGGAGAAGCTAGAAGAGGAAGAGCAGAAAGTAAAGGTTGAAGCTGGGAAGGCGCCTTTGTTGGGGAAGCGGGATGGGTCGCCGAAGGATAAAGGGAAGGGGGGAGGTGAGGAGAAGGAGGGAGGGGAGGAGAAGGGGGAGAAGGTGGGGAAGAGGGTGAGGAGGGGACGGTCGAGGGGGAGCGAGGAGGGGGATCCGCAGAGGGTGGGTTGTGCGGTGGGGTGTTTGGGGATGTTGGGACGTCCGGGGTGAATGGGGGGGTGTTATGAGATCCCCGTTTGGATGAGAGATGATGTGACGATAGGGGTACGCGCATGGAACATGTGATTATAGATTGCTTTTATTTTACGCATACAAACGGCCAGGTCTGGGTTGGGGTGCTGGCACTGGAAGGGGGGTGGGAAATGGGCATATGAGGAGTGGGAAGGGTGGTGGTGGTGTGTTTAACTAATCTCTGTAGAATGTAACGCGGCCCATAAACCGACCCTTTAAGTTTCCAACATGCATCCGCTGAAGAATTGAGACAGGTCCATAAAGAGACCCCCTAAGTGAATGGAGACTGGCCCATAAACAGACCCCTTAAATATCCAACTTGCATCCGTTGAAGAATGTAGACCGGTCCATAAACAGACCCCTTAAAATCTCTAACAAGCATCCGCTGAAGAATGGAGAATGGCCCATAAAGAGGCCCCCTAAATCTCCAAAATCTCCAACATGCATCCTCTGAAGAATAATTAATCTATAGCATGTAACTAACGACGCAACCTATAAACCGACCATCCCATCCCTTATATGCATCCGCTGAAGAATTGGTGATCTATACCGGCCTATAATCAGACCCCCTAAATCTCCAACATGCCTTCTGCTGAATAATAGAGACCGGCCCATAAAGAGGCCGCCTAAATCTCCAACATACAGCCGCGGAAGAATTGGTGATCTGTACCATGTAGACCGGCCCATAAACAGACCTCCTATTCCTAACATGCATCCGCTGAAGAATTGATGATCTATACCATGTAGACCAGCCCATAAACAGACTTCCTATTCCCAACATGCACCGCTGAAGAATAACTACTCTATAGCATGTAACGCAACCCATAAACTGTCCCCCTAATCCTCAACATGCATCCGCCGAAGAATAACAGCTCATCACGTGAACCCCCCTTCAGCCCCTGAGCCATCCCATCCTCACCTCGGACCACACCCCTTTTCAGCGCCAACACCGGCTACGAAATAGAGTATGCAACACCCTTAATATCCGCAAGGCATATTCTCCGCGCCCAGCGCCCGAACCTAACTTACCTCTCGCAAAAGTCCCGCTGCTGCGTGACGACGGCCGCAGACGCAGAGACAGAGCCACCCTCCCTCCGCTCATGCGATCCCCCGCGCGCAGAGCTCCAGACACGACATGCCTTCCTCAGCCTAGCTAGTCCGCTTGGACAAACAGGCAAACAACCGCGTCGAACGAGTCGGTCAAGGGGCGCGGTGGGCTGCAGGATCACCAGCGCCGATGCACACGCACGCACGACAATAATCCAACCGCCACGCCCCTCTGAGATTCTCTTTCGGGACAACCCTTTACGCCGACCTCCTAGGATGGCCCCTAGTATCACCCTTCCAGACTCGCGCGCGGGGGCGAGATAGCGGAAGCGAGCTTCCGCGCGCCCCAGGCGAGGGCAGCAGCGGCACTTGCTTGCCTGCCAGCTGGCGCAGCGCGCAGTTGGGCGGAGGGACAGCGCGCGCAGGCACGAGCCGCGAGGCCTAGGGCAGGCCGGGGATGCAGAGGGCATGTCCGTGGGGGGGTGAAGCTTAAGTGGTTCCAACAGCGGCGGTCGGAGGAGGGCTGTTTGTGTGTTAGCGGGGCGATGGGGAGGGCAAGCGTCGGGGGGGCGAGGGGAGGGAGGGCGGTGGAGGTGTGTCTAGGGGGAGGTTGTGGTATCACAAAGATCACGCTCGTGCATTGTTGCTGGCATGGAATGCGTCGTGGGGGCCGTGGGGGCCGCGGGGATGGGGAACTGTGGTGCTGCTGGCTGTGCCTGTGAGGGCGGTCACGGGAGTGGAGGGGGATGTGGTGGTGCAGGAGGGTTGCAGTTGGGGCGGGCGACGCGGGAATCGGGTCATCAATGGTCGCATAGTCGGCCGGTGGCTCCGTTATGGCTTGACGCGCGTGCGAGCGAGCGAGCCGTTGTGCGTTGTTGGAGGGGGAGGCCCTGGGGGGTCGGTTTTGTGTTTTTCAACGGCGCTTAGAAGACGCATGCCATTCGCGAGGCCGGCACAAACTTTTTCGGCTTCGCTGGAAAAAAGAAAGGGACATGTCACTTGTTTTCTTTATCGATAGCAGCGGTGATTGCGTCAGCGTCCATCCGCAAAACCTAGATTAACCGTTACCATTGAACATCAATCACCTTTCTCCTGTTGCATGCGCAACAATCAACGAGCCGTTCAACCCTTGAGCTGACAGACCCATTTAATTGCGACCACTAACATTGGCAAGCACTATAGCAGATCAGACCATAATAATGTCGCGTTTATGAACCTGGTCGTCAGACGCCCGGCATGCACAGATGTGGGAAGGAACCGACTCTGCCTGGCCCCGAGACAACTACATACGGAGTGGAGTGTACAATATTTCTGTGCCGTGCTGCGGCAGAGTAGGGGGATCACCGGAATCAGACAGGTGGCGGCCTCTCTTCATCCGTCGTCGTCTCTCAGCCGGCCTCTCCACATGTGCATGGGAGCGGGGGTCTTACAACAGTCGCGTTTTTGCCCCCCCCCCCCAGTAAACGAGGTGCTGCAAACATGAGATGGGTTGTCGTCCGCGTTATTGTGCCACTAACTGATCGCCCACCTGCGGTTCAGCCGTTTGATGCTTGCACGCTTGCCCAGGGGACAGGGGAAAGCTCTTGAGAGTGCTTAGAGCGGCGGTCATCATTGGAGGCGGGGGCTATCACGGTTTCAGTTTGCTCGCATTGTTGGAATGATGCAGTGCCGGCCGGGCATGCTACCTGTCATGTCGTCGTCGCCCTTGCGTCCTTTCGCGTCAGGAACTGAAAACTGCCCGCCAAGTAATCTAAAAAATCTCGAGTTTCACAAACAAACGGCGTAGATGGCTAAAAGATTGAGGGATCTCCATATAACGGCTTTCGTGCGTGAGCCGTAAGCTATGCGGCCACGGTTCGGACCTTTTGATGTGAAGAATGCAACCCACAACATATGCCTCGTAACCGTGTGTTGGATGAAAATGTCAGCGGCAACCAATAGTAGAGTCACCCAATGATGCTTTATCAATTTCAAGAACGGACATTTACGCCGTCCTTGCACGTCGATTGGGGGTCAGAGACGAGAGCGAAGTAACGCCCAAGTACCTTGGGTTTCTTCCGTGACGCGGTCTGGTGAGCGTTGACAAGGTATGGAAGAGAGATGAGAAGGGAACGTCTTGTCACACTGCGAGATCTCCGCCGGGTGCAGGCTTCCCCCTTCCCGGGGGGAGAATACTTAGTCCAGTACTTTGAAGCACGAGCATCTGCGGAAGTCTAGCCGTCTCTGGCTGGGAGTTGTTGGTAAGAGCTTACCGTGTCGAGAAAGGCGTTGGCGAGGAGAGGCAGACGAGGAGGGGAGAGGAGACGAGGAGGGGGGAAGGAGGTTCTAAGCGCCGCGATCGAGGAGCAGCTAATAGGAACGCACATGGCACCCTTGGCCTGGCGCCATGGGTCAGCCGCGAAGCGTCGAGGCGGCGAGATCCCGAAGGGTATATCAGAAGTATCAAGAGAAGTACCTGGGCAATATCGCGGTTGAAAGAAGACGTGTGGAATGTTTGTTGTCCCCGCCACAGTGACCAGTTTTGAAGGCCTAGCATGAGGCCGGGGATGTCCAGCACAGAGCATATGCAGTCTGCATGTCGTCCAGCGTTACATCATCCGGATGCTCGCTCTGTCTCTAGGAAGGCGCCCCTAGTTCGATCGTCCGAGCGGAGCATCTATCTATCGTTCTTGCTGTATTTGGCGAGGGAGAGGGAAGGGAGAATAGAATAATAGAAATAATTGAAATAATTGAAATTGAAATTGAAGTTAAAATCCCGTGAAATACCGTAAAATACCGTGAAATAAAATACAAATGATTTATGTGGGATGCTGCATGTCCTAGTCGAGTCGGGGAGAGCAAAGAGTACATTACCAACAATGATAGTCGATATTCATGCTGTTTGTTGTCTCTCTTCGCGGGTGCAGTGCATTTGAGTGCAGCAGTAGACCACAGTAAGAGTGCATAGAGTACATTAAAGCAGCAGTAGCTTGAATGTTCCCCTGGTTCTCTAGAGTAGTTAAGTTAGTGCTGTTAGTTAGTACTGTTACAGTATTGTTTAGTGCTCTTAGCTGCTGTTAGTGCTACTAGTACAGTGAATGTGGTATGTGCTGTTGGTGGATAGACGGGGTGAGGAATACCTGGTTTCTCGGCGACGATGAGCTCTAGGACTGGCTCCGTCTCTCTATTATACCCCTACAACTATCCGACCCTCTCTTCCTTCCCCCTCCACTACCCCACATTGAACACTGTCATCCTTCCCTGATACTGCAGACTATCATTTCTCTAATACTCTTCTCTTATTCGACTATCCTCCTCTATCAATACATCCACTCACTACCTGGCCTCTTGCCAACAACCTTATCGGCTGTCAATTCTTTCTGCCCTAAAAAGGCATTCCATGTACAAATACTATCCATATACTTACAAGGTCCTCCATGTCCACACTTGTGTGCTTCTTCCTCCCTCCTCTCCCTTTTCCCTCTCACAGTACTCTCTCTCCCTGGGGGCTGATTGATATATTATACCCTACTACATACATAGCCTTGCGTGATAATATCAATGGCTGCATCTAACTCCTCATTTCATTCATCACATTGGCACTAAGAACTTGAGAGACAAACAACCACCAATAAGGCACACGGCCGTTGGACAGGACAGGCATATTTCTCATCGACGCACTCAACATCCCACAAGGAATGGCAAACAACTACTTGGACTGAATTCATACAGACCAATACCCGGCCCCTCGGAATGCTGGGGAATACCTTATAAACCAAGCCATTGTCTCCTCTGAATTCATGTTCTCGTTCGACCATTGCGAACGAAGAAAAATATCTCGTCCAACCTCCTCTCAAGGTTCCCACTCTCAAGGCAAACCCACGAGCTCACCACCACTACACATATCCAAATCGGTAGACCACGAATAATATCATATAGTATGTATAGTTCTCATGCTCTCTAACTACCATGGCCACTGCTTCGGGGTGGGGGACTCCAACCGTTCCACTCTCTTCACCTAGACTAGAATATTCTGACGTTGTAGCCCAGTTCAAACCAAGCCAGAATCTCACCGAACCTACACACTCAGGTGCATCGCTCAGAGTAACACCCAGCATCATGTGTCAGAAAATAACGCACACCTATGGATGTGGGCATGCAATAATAAATTGGGCCAAGACTTCAGGATGCAAAACCGAGCCTGAGAAGTGCAAACGGTTGAGATATATTACCGCTCCTCATGCAGAACTGTGCGACAGGTGCGAGAAGAAGGCCGAAGAGTCTTAATAGCTGAATTATGCTACATTGTTGCGGCCACGCGCAGCTCTTCGGGCTTGGGAATCAACTTTTGCATCTCTGGTCCGGACCACTCAACCTTTTATAAGCTTCACTATGGGTTATAATTCTCGGTGGTGGAACAGTCTCGCATACAAGCACGCCATCGGCATTTTTAAAGGAGTTTGGTTATGGGAAAACTGGCATCGTTTGAGTGGATATCTGCTGTTTATTTTCCGCCACGGTCAGTGGCGCAAGCATCTTTAGGGCTGCCGCGTTGTTACGGATATTCCGTCTGTTCTGCACGACACGCTCACCAATAATTCACATCGTGTCCCATAGGGGCACATTTATTTTGAACATTCTTTAGCAAACCCGAGTCGAATAACTCTCTTTTCACATAGAGCCAGACAGGGCAAAGTTGGATAATAAATTTGTGTTTTTGACCCCCTTCTCATCCCCGAGCAAATGGCAAGTGAGCGCTGCAACTGCCGCCTGATCCCCCACAAGCAGCACAGTACCTGCTGCTAGGGTCATGGACGCGGGTGCAACGTGCCAGTGATACGAGAGCCGTCTGACAGCGGCGACAGCCGACGTGGGCGAAAAGTTCGGTGGGGCCGGTGACTGAAATGGGAACGAGATGCAACGAGATGCAAACGAGAAGACGGGAGGGAGGGAAGGAAGGTAGTACCCGCTGCATCATGCTGGACACCGGCTGAAGCCGTCTCTTGCTTGCCGGCCACAGTAGTCTCGCGGATCCCCCGTTCCGTCAAAGATGAATACATAAAGTGATTTTGGGCGGATGGCAACCCATTTCTCCCCGACCAATGTTATTCAGATAAAATGGAAATTCTATTTGCGTTGGGGGAATGCTGCGGGCGTGGCCCCTCAACCCTGCCTGGGTCGCATAAAATGTCAATCATGTGATATTTCTCATGCACAGTTGGCAGCATAATGTGGTTGGAGGAGGAGAGCTCGTTTAAGATTGCTGTTGCAGCGTGCCGGGCGGCTATGCCGCGACGAGGCGTCCGCCATTGGGTAGGACGACACGAAAGCGCATTCGAGGCATTTCCCCTTCGCGGCATTCCGAGAAATAATTTTTTACATCAGAGCAAGCGAGAAGGGTCAGAGCACCTCATGATGGCGAAGTATTCGGCCCCCAAATTCACAGGAACGCGGCGTCCGAGATCTGCCCACACTAACCCGGTGGAGTCTGTTGGATGTTGGATAATGGAATGCTTTGAGGGCATTTTTCAGCTGCTGCGGTATCCAGATCAACGCCCAATTTGCTTGGTCTGCCCAGTGGGGTCGCTTGGAGGAGTTCTGGTGGACCCGATGCTTTTGACGGCACAATTTGCTTTGATGATGTTGGTGATAACTGGTGCAGAGAGGAGGGGTTTGACGATAGATAGTCTGCCAGATCCTTGCTCCAAGCCGGCTGAAGTTGCAGAAATGATGGGATCGAGCTCACATAAGTGTCAAATAGACAGGTAGATGTAGAAGTACAACAGGGCAACATTCAGAAGAAATGAAGGTGACTCCAGAGCTACCCCCGCTTGGAATGCAAGGGAACATGATACTACAACGCTCGCGTATGATCCCGTTGCCCTTGCAGTTTTTCCGTAATTCATCACATTTTGCCATTTAGCTCGTTTACAGCAGTATGGGGTGTCCGTAATTATCAGATAGTCGAATCTCGAGGCGCCCAACTATCGGCGGCTAGAACCCTGCTGGCGGCGGCCCTATCAGTGGCCCTGCGTCTCCAGAGGCGCACCTTGCTATATTTCACGTGACCACATACCCACTCTAAAGCAGCGATAGCAACATTTCACACTGACACTTCCAACACATAACTCCACAACTAGGTGATGACAATTGTCAAGCTACCAGATGTCCATTGATCTCAACTGGGAAACCGTCACATCTGGCCCTGACGGAATTGCCTTGGCGGAGACGATCCGCACGTTCATTCATGACAGATTTCAGACAGTGACTTTACCCCGGTTCATCAAGTCGGTCAAGGTCCATACATTTGAATTCGGTTCGGTGGCCCCGGAGATAGAGCTCAAGGACATCTGTGACCCATTGGCCGATTTCTACGGGGAAAATGATGAGGAGTCAGCCTCTGATGAGGAGGCGGGAGGTGATGATGTAGGCTGGAAGCCACCCACCACCACCCATGAAGCCCGCACACTTAGGGAGAGACGGCGAACCGACAGAGAGGCGAGATCCAGCAGACCGCCTCATGACAGGAGCTCTTCTCTCTACGCTGACACACGGTTTACTGGGACGCGAGGTCTGCAACCTTCAGAGCAGGGAAATTCGTTCTTCGGCCCACACACCCCCGGCATATCAGGAGGTACTTCAAATCTTAACTACTTTCATTCCCATCTTGCTTCTGGCCTCTCGGGGACTCAGACCCCTCTTGCAGCGGTGGCGGGGGCACACCTTCCTCATGGCTGGCCGGATCACAGCGCCCAATCAGGAAATCGCAGAATCAGCCACCATCACTCTGCAAGTGGCAGCTCAATGGCCCCCTCCATCGGGGATGCTGCCCAACAGGCCTTGGAGCGGGGGAGCGTGTCGACATTCTCGCCACCCGGCACACGTCCTCCCACGCAGGATGGTCTGCTGGACGAAGCCATCGACGACGAGCCAACCTCACCCCCACGTCGCTTCAAGGAGCCCCGTGTCGAAGACCTCCAGACCGTCTTCCGCGTCCGTTACTCCGGCGACATCAGGCTGTCACTCACTGCGGAGATCCTGTTGGACTATCCCATGCCCAGTTTTGTCGGAATCCCTCTGAAACTCAACATTACCGGGCTCTCATTCGATGGCGTGGCAGTGTTGGCATACATCAGGAAGAAGGCCCACTTTTGTTTTTTGTCACACGAAGATGCGTTGAATGCCATTGGGCCCGAAGATTTGGATGACCCTGCGGGCACCCCTAACGGTCTGAAAATGGGGGGGCTCCTACAGGAAATCAAGGTCGAGAGTGAGATAGGCCAGCGGGAGAACGGAAAGCAGGTTCTGAAGAATGTGGGCAAGGTCGAGAAGTTTGTCTTGGAACAGGTCAGGCGCATCTTTGAGGATGAATTTGTATACCCCAGCTTCTGGACTTTTCTGGTCTGAGGGAGGGGACCTAGTGGCTACGAACGGCTATCTACGTCCCGCGCCCTGTTGCGGGCCATGATAGGCGGCCTAGTGTCAGGCAATTCCCAGCAATTACTCCCTGGGTATACTACCCAGGCAAGTCCAAGGTATTCCCAGGTCATTCCCAGCGCCACGCTATGCAGAATACCAAAGTACAAATCAGCTGCACAGTGTCTGTTGTCTGTCACACGTTTCGGTCAGTTCAGCGTCGCCTTGAATCCCTGATACGCTGCGTTCATGTCCAGCTCTAGCTCCCTGGCGTGATCCTCGCCCAGTTCCTCTGTCGCCTTCATCTGGTTGAGGGAAATGAGCCACTGTACGATCTTGCCCCTCCCCTCAAAGTCTCTGTCTGTAACTTTGTTGACAGACTGTATTACGTCCGAGAGCAGCGGGTGGAGCTGGTCTTTCGCGAGCAGCCCCAGCTTGAGTGCGTCCAAGAATGTGATGAAATCCTGCGTCGCTTCCAGGATCAGACTTCCATTGGCCCCGGTATTCCCACTTGTCGCTGCATGAGTCGGTGCGGTAACCGTGGAAGGGAGGCCGATTCGTATCCTCTCTGTAGCCCGAGGTACCTCCATCTAGAAGAATCAGCCGAATGCTCAGACCTTGTCTCTTTGAACTCGCAATACATACATCCCACTCGTACTTGAAGGTCTCGAGGTCAACAAATTCCTTGGCCACGGTCTCGTCCGTCAGGATCGCCTTGTACTGCTTCAGTAGCCTGTCGCATATCTCCGTGTAGTCCGCTTCGGGGATCGCATCCTTGAGATACGCCTTCTCCAGCTCGTCAAGCGTGATAATAATGCTGAAGACTTCTGCAAGCGAGTCCTGCAGGTCTCTCTCAGCGCGCGTGGTCGCAAGTTTAATTTCCTGTGCGCAAGTTAGCTTGTTGGCTCTCGTTAATGGGGAGGGGCGCCCTTACTTCGTCGAGGTTCACAGTGGCAGAAAGAGCGGTATTTGGAATATAGCTATGCGGGGTCGGCGCGTACGCCTGCTTATTCGGATACATGACAGTATATTCGCAGTAGATTATTAAAGAAGCTCAAACTTAAAGTATTCAACTCTCACATCCCTCCTTCGTGAAGCCAAAGGCACCCATGGGCCAGAGCGACCGTTCGGGCGGTCTGCGATTCTGCCGTCAGCGCTAGCCCGATCTAGCTCGATTAGCGTCGCGATAAATAATTCCCCATAACATTTTTCTGCAAAGGCTGCGATTGAGCCCTGTCAGGAACGCAAAACCTCGAAAACCACATTTCCCTCTCCCGCAACCACAACAATGGCGAAGACGAGCAAGAAAGCAACTCGTAAGTTCGAGAAGAACCACTTGAAGGACTCGCTTGAGCGCCGCAAGGTGGGCGCGAAGATCAAGCAAAAGGTGCAGATCAAAGAGAAGAGGGCGCTGAGGAATGCGAAGGATGCCGAGTTCTTAGGCAAAGGCAAGGCGGAGGATGGAGAGGAGGGTGCGCCTGAGCCCAAGGCCGATCCTTTCGGTCAGATGAGCGTGGATGATTTCTTTGCTGGGGGGTTCGAGGTCCCGGAGAAATTGGCCAAGAAGAATGCAAAGAAGGCACTTGGGAAGAGGAAGCGCTCTGAGCCGCAGGCGGAGAAGGAGGATGAGGGCGACTCCTCTGATGCCTCGTACGAGGAGGCACCGGTTGCTAGCGATGATGAGGGCAGTGAGGACGAGGATGAGGATATGGGAATGAGCAAGGAGGCTATGGAGGCACTGGCAGAGAAGGACCCGGAATTCTACAAATACCTTAAGGAGAATGACCCCGAGACACTGGATTTCGACGAGGATGCCGATCTGGCCGAGGTCGATGGACTTAGCGGCAGTGAGGAGGAGGAGGAGAGGCCTAAGAAGAAGTCGAGAAAGAGCAAGAAGGCTAAGGCTGAGGCTGAGGAGATGGAGGTAGATGAGGAGTCTGAAGAGCAGATGCTCGACGAGACTGAGGTCACAAAGGAGATGGTCGCTAAGTGGAAGAAGGCAATGTCTGAGCAGCACTCGTTACGAGCGATGCGACAGGTTGTCCTCGCTTTCAGAGCGGCTGCACACGTCAACGAGGATGAGGGCAAGGACTACAAATACACGATTACGAATCCCGAGGTCTACCACCAACTTCTCGTCGTCACTCTCCAGCTCGTCCCCGAGGTCCTGCAGCACCATCTCCCCGTGAAGGAGAGCGCAGCGGGCAAGATCCGCGTCTCGACCGACTCGAAGAAGTTCAAGACCCTCACGCCGCTGCTCAAGTCTCACACGACCTCCGTCCAGCATCTGCTCACGACCCTATCGGACGAGGCGACCCTCAAGCTGACCCTCTCGACGATCAACCCCCTCCTCCCATACCTCCTTCCCTTCAAGAAGGTGCTCAAGGGCATCGTCAAGACCGTCGTGGACATCTGGTCCGACGCCTCCAGCAGCGAAGCCACTCGCATCACCGCCTTCCTTGTCGTGCGCCGCCTCGCCGTGATCGGCGACGCCGGCCTCCGCGAAGCCGTCCTCAAGACCGTCTACCAAGGCCTCGTCAAGGGCGCGCGCAACACGACCATCCACACGATCCAAGGCATAAACCTGATGAAGAACTCTGCCGCCGAGCTCTGGGGTCTGGATCCTACAATCGGCTACACGACCGGCTTCACATTCATCCGCCAGCTCGCCATCCACCTACGCAGCAGCATCACCAACAACGCCAAGGAGTCCTACAAGACTATCTACAACTGGCAGTACATCCACTCCCTCGACTTCTGGTCCTGCGTCCTCGCCGAGCACTGTTCGCCCCTCAAGGAGGCCGCGCGCGGAAAGGAATCACAACTCCGCGCCCTCATCTACCCCGCTGTCCAGGTCACACTGGGCGCCATGCGTCTCATCCCCACCGCGACGTACTTCCCCCTGCGCTTCCATCTCGTGCGCTCGCTGCTGCGACTCTCGCGCGCGACTGGGACGTACATCCCCCTCGCACCTCTGCTGCTCGAGGTCCTCTCCGCTGCGGAGATGAAGAAGCACGCTAAGTCATCTACGCAGCGCCCGCTCGACTTCTCGGTGGCGTATAAGGCGCCTAAAGCGTACTTGCGGACACGCGTCTACCAGGATGGCGTTGGGGAGCAGGTTGTTGAGCTACTGGGGGAATTCTTCGTTCTATGGTCTACGAGCGTTGCAGCGCCGGAGCTGGGGCTACCGGTGATTGTGATGCTGAAGCGGTGGTTGAAAGAAGCCGGTGCGAAGACAGGGAACCGGAACGGCAAGGTTAATGCAGCGCTAGGGATCCTGGTTCAGAAGATCGAGGCGAATGGGCGGTGGGTTGAGGAGAGGCGTGTGAAGGTTGAGTTTGCGCCCGGGAATCGCGCGGGGGTGGAGGGCTTCCTGAAGGGGTTCGAGTGGGAGAAGACGCCGCTAGGGGCGTATGTTGTAGGGCAGCGGAAGCAGAGGGAGGAGAAGGCGAGGATTCTGGAGGCGGGGAGGAGGGAGGAGGATAAGGTGGGAAAGGGGAAGAAGGGAGGGGGGGATGTGCAGATGGATGATGTGGTTGAGTCGTCTGACGAGGAGGAGGAGGAGGATGAGTAGGGGGGGAGAGAAATATTGTGTTTATAACGGGTAACGATGCAAAACGTGGCATCAAAAATCATCCATCCAGCGTTCTGGACGGGCTGCTGCAATCCAAAACAAAATTTACCTTGAGACTTGGCATCCTGCGTCTCCTTTGAAATGAGTGTCTCATCCGGCCAGCCGTCTCACTCATTCCAAAATAGAAGAAAGATGAGCTCGCTCGAGATCTCGCAGACCTCACAACCTTACCTCTCCTAGCCCCCCCTTGCGCTTTCTCAGGCAGGCACGCTCCCGTCGATATCCATCCACTCCATCCACTCCCCGCATTTCCCCCTCTTAGCGCATAGATCCCCAATCCCACCACCATTTTGAATTTCACATGCCACTCTTCCCCCCGGCCCAAGCCCAATTGCCACCCCCATGGGCCCCATGCCCCCCACCGGCCTCAGGCACATCGCACAGCCAAGCCAGCCAAGCACGCACGCACCCGGCGCTGCATACTCATTTCACCACTATCACCACTAGGTAGCCGCCGTAAAATTAAGTCGATAGGCAGGTGTCTCGGGCAACGCACCGCACCGCACCGCCGCGGAGCCGCGGAGCCGCCAAGCCGGGGGCACGAAAGCTGGGAGGCCTCAGCTGATCCAAGGCGGCTTGGCGGGGGGATGAGGTGTTTGGATGGAGGCTGGGTGGCCGACCAGGCGCCGAGACGGGGGGGGGCGCGGTGGGGAGGGGCGGGGCGGGGCGGGGGACCGAGGGGGAGGGGGATATTTGTTCATCATGTGCCGAGGAACAACAGGTACGTACAACGTAAAAGTATGTGTTCGCACCTGGGAAATCTTCATCCGTCTTCATCTCTATCTATCTACTCTCCACTCTACCCTCCATCGTCACCGTCACCGTCACCGTCACCGTCACCGTCACCGTCACTATCACACACAAGCTTGCCGACCTCGCCGCTCCACAAACCATCAACCAATTCTCAACACGTAAGCCGGCCTACACCAATCACACCCAACCTCACCTTTCGCAATTCGTGTCCTCCTCACCATCACCACCTCATCCATCGTCTCGCCCTGCCTGTTGTTGGTGGCTTGACCCCTCCTCACCCCCTCATCCCTCCACGTGGGCCCCATCCGCGCCTCATCTCCAACTCGCCGACCGCAAAAAACAGCCAAGAGAAAAAAAAAAACAGACACAGCAGGAGAGAGATAACACCGAGACATACCAAGCCTGCGATCAATTGGCCGCGAGTAGATCTCACCGATTTATAACATACCAGCCACCGCACCCGCGCTTCCGCCAAGGCAGAAGGTCAGACACGCCGTGTGCAAGGTGCTAACGAGAGAGGGAGCTTCGATTGCTTTCCAGGCTAGAGCGGATTATTTATATTGCCTGTCCTCCCCCTTCGACTACGGTTTGTAAAGACATCTCTTCATCTCTACTTCGAACCCTCTCTACTCTACTTCGAACCCTCTCTACTCTACTTCGAACCCTCTCTACTCTACTTCGAACCCTCTCTACTCTACTTCGAACCCTCTCTACTCTACTTCGAACCCTCTCTACTCTACTTCGAACTCCGATCAACGAACTCCGATCAGCGAATCTATACCCAACCTACATACTCAACCTACACCCACCCACAACCACACAACCACCACACACAACACACCAAAATGTCCACCAAACACCACTACCCCCTCGCCCCCCGCACCCTTCGCATCCCCTCCCCCTCCCCCTTCACCTTCCTCTCCCTGGCCCCCGCCGCCTCCACCACCCCCCCGCTGCCATCCTCGCCCCCCACACCTTCCTCTCGCTCTCCCCCACCACCACTCCCGCCTCGTCGCCCTTCATCCCCGCTTCCGCAAGGGGTGTTTCGATAATCCCACTCCTGCCAGTGGATGTGACGGTCGGGATGCCGGCGCCGCTGGAGCATAGACGGAGTAGCTCGGTTGTGAGTCTGGGTGTTGGGGGGAGGTTTTTGAGGTTGGGGCATGGTGTTGGGGGGGGGAGGAGGGGGATTGGAGTGCTGTTGAGTGAGCTTCCAATACTAGGAAGGGGTTGATGGAAGGATTGTCAGCGTGAGCGTGAGCGTGAGCGTGGCGTATTTGGGATTGTTGCGGGAAGGAGGATGTGTGTTTGCCTTGATGGCTGGCTGGATGGTTGATTGGTTTGATGGATGGATATGGGCGTTGAGAAATACTTTAAAGTATGTTGTTGGGGGGTCTTGTTATCTTTGGAGAGATTGAGTGGGGAGGAGAAAATGGCCACAAGTGATAATGATATGACGTCTGGTTGCTTGTTTTATTGTGGTAGTTAGTGGGAATATTAACTCGTGAGCGTACAATCGTCTTCCTCTATTGCAATCATTATGTGTGAGAGTATATGCTTGTTCATATTAATATATATGTGGTGCTTGAGGAATGTTATGTTTGTTTGATGCTCTGTTTTATTAAAGACGAAATATTTTCAAAAATATGGAAGAAATAATATTCCCCATCATCACTTCTAATTTAAACTTCTTCATTATATTTTATATCACCAACAAAACTAACAAGAACCCCTCAGATAGTTCACACCCATCTACCTTCACTATCTTGTCTACCACCACCCAAATCTTCACCGTCGCACAACCCCCTTACCCCCCCTCTTCCACCCACCGCCCAGACATGCAGTATCACGTCCCTCAGCGACATTAAACCAGCATACCGCACCATACCCACCCCCCCACCCAACTCTGCCCAGCCATGTAGTACCACGTCCCCCAACATCCCCAACCCTCACACCACCATACCAAGACCCAAACGTCCTCCTCTCCAGACCTTTCCAGTCCACCCATCCCCCAACGTGGGCGTACAAGCCAAGGGATATGAGAATACCTAAGACTATCTGATCGGGTGGCTGAAAACAACCTCCTTAGCAGTGAATTGCCGAGTGATGGCCCGCACGGCTGCTTTTGATGGCGTGCATGTTCTGGTGCCTTGGCGGGTGGTGTGTAACACGGGGCATACGGGAGGGTGATGGGGAATCTAATCAGCGCGGGTCTAACGCAGGCGTGTGTTGTGCGACACGGCGCTTGACGGCGCTTGAGCGCGTGAAAGGAGACAGGTTGGCGGGATATGCCGTGGTGAAAGGAGACAGGTTGGCGGGGTATGCGGGGATGGATGGTGAAAGGAGACAGGTTGGCGGGATATGCGGGGATGGATGCGTTTGTGAATAGAGCTGGGATGACAGGACGCGCGGGGATGGATGGCGGGTTTTGTGAGCCCCATTCACCGGATGTTTTTGAGATGGACATGCGGTGAACGGGGTTGTCATTGGGACGAGAGTGATGCCTGACGGGGGTGTTTCTTTGGGACAGGAGAGGAAGGATGGCGGGTACATGGTGATGCTCGGCGGGTAAGTGGTGATCGGGAACCGTTCATCGGGACGACGTCGTGCTTCAGCGGGGGATGTGGTGATACGGGAAACGGGGGAGGGTAGATGTGCGACGGGGTTGATGAGGTTAAAACCACGTTCATCTACACCGGATGGACATGGTCCAGACTGGAAGTCGAGGGTTGAGATCCCATCCAGCTAGGACATCACATCAAGTGTGGGTATGTAGTCTTATATACTCTCATAAATAACGACGAACGGGTGCGTCTGCCTGGAAGCATGAGACAGACGTCCGAACCCATCACTGCCCTTCTTTACTCCTGAATCCGACAAAAACGATGCATCGACCTCGACACACGCCAGTATCGCCATGCCATCAAGAAGGCACACCGCATCAACAAACCCCACCTACAGCGCTTATCCCACCCCGCATCTGCGTTTGCTCCCCGCGCGTCAACGAAACGCTTCACGCACCACAAAACAATTCGTACATGCTTCTGCACCTGCTTGCAGCATCCCCACACAGACAGCCTCGTCCAAAATAGCCCCTCTAGAGTGCGGCGACCACGTGAACCAAAGAAAGGGATATCACGTGACACCATACCACACCATTCCCGAAACAGAGACGACCCGGCAGGGGGCTCCTGCTCACATTCCACGGGGAATGCCATGTGAGATATATGGGCGGGGGCGTTGGGCACGCGCTCCTTCGCCGGATTCTACGAGGGGAGGATGGTGTGGCGGCGGTGGTGGTGGGGGGGGGTTAGCGGGGATGGATGGGGGTTTGGAAAGATGAGATCCTACTGTTGTGAGGTTGTGAGGCTGCGCCGCCGTGATCGCAGGGGTAATTTGACAGTTTCAAGTGGGGCGAATAAGGGTGCGTCGCTGCGGGAGATCTAATGGCGGTTGATGTGGGTGGGTGGGTGGGGTGTATGGCGTACCTAACGCGGGGGGATGACAACCATGAAATCGCCCGTTGTGAGGCCGTTGAATGGGCCGGAATGCGGAGTTTGAGGCGGGGATTCGGCATTCACGGTGCTGTCGGCGCAGAGAGGAAGTGATGTTTGCGATCGATGGTGGTGGCTATGACCAGAGCGGCGAGATGGAGGATTTGTGGAAGAGGATCCTTTGTTCCCGGTGGTGCGGTTGTGAGGGTTGAGATGGCTGTTTTTAGAGGGTGGTGGGATAATAGGACCGAGCTGTACAAAGAATGATGCGAGAGCTAGGGTGGGAGCGTGAGGGAGGTGTGGCGGAGATGGGAGAAAGAGGCAAGCCACGACGGAAGTGAGTGTGAAGTGAATTTTGCAAGTTGAGATGGGGAGAAGGACATGACGTCTGGAGGCAGCAGCAGCTACTCACCTTATGAATATCCGCCTGATGCGTAATTAATGCCATGTTCAAGCTGCACCGTAGTGAGACAGACGTCCAAATAACGTAGGAAACCATGCATCTAAGCGCAGAAGACGCTACTGCAGCCAGCCGCGCGCGAATCTCTCACATAGATGCAGGTCCCACCCTGTCACTGTCCATCGTCCAGGGCCGCGCGGGCAGATGGGCCTGAAGCCGTCATTGCACCGCTGGGATGGCAAATCAGAGGGAGTGCGGGCGTGCGAGATGGCGTCCACGGAAGCGGGCGCAGGGTCCGAAAACGAACGTGAGGTGGAATGCGGCTGGGTTGAGCGTTGTCGTATGATAGGTCGTTTGGAGGGTTGCAATCGAGACTCTCGCTACCGCTCAGATTGCCGAGACAGAGACACGCTGTGACTGATAATAACCTTGCTAGTTAGGGACAGGCCCGTAGGCGAAACTGTCTTTGAGATTCATGTACTCTCGTTAATTACTTACATGAACAAGTGGGGAAGGATTGCCGGGGTGATGTTTCTGTTTCTAGCGTTTCTGGCTGCCAACTGATATTAGGCCCGGAGTTTGGTAGTCCCCTATAGCTAGCCCGGGACCCCCAATATCTTTGAACCTCAACCTTTGAATCTTAAAGAATACAACCCAAGATCCTGTTTCATATTCTGGACGAAATGTCAGATAGAGCAGCCAGCACTATTCCCCCAACACCACCACCTTCAAACGCCGCAGATATCCAAGATGGTTTTGGACACTTGATCCAACATAATTCTTCCTTCCAACACCAATCGAACTCATTTGAGGGAGGAGGAAGTCAGATGTCGCCGAGTGGATCACCAGTACAAGGCTTGGATGACACATTATACAGCAATGGCGTTTACCAATACGGCAACGGCCAAGAGATCTTCCAATATGGCCTGTCGCCAAACATTGTGGTCGGACCTGAATATGTAGGTTCAAGTTTCGTTATGCTTAGGGCTCCGTCCTGACAGCGAACAGGAAAACTTGCAGTATGACATGAAACAAGAGAACTCTCGTTATGCGCCGGTAACAGATGATCCACAACTCGTAAGCAACTTGGGTCTGACCCAGAACGTAGCTGACCATTTTAGTACGGATATAGGAGCCACGAAGCGTCTCCAGCGCCGTCGGCGATGTCTCCTCCACTGAATGTGAGGCGCACCAGAAGTGGACAGGCTATTAATCGAGCGATCCAACAGTTGAAGCCATCGCCAAAGCCGACTGCTCGGGCGGCATCGCCAAAGCCAAAGGCCAAGAAGGTCAAGAAGGAGAAGAAAGCCAAGGCGGAGAATAAAATAGCCAGATTGGAACAGCCTCTCAGCGTACTGACGAGAGAGTGGACCCACGTGCCAGTGGTTGATATTGATGCGTACGTGAACCGATCAGCAGAGATCAGGCGGCAGGAAGTCGAGGAGGGAAAGAACCCGGGAAAAGTCAAGAGACCGATGAACTCTTTCATGTTGTACCGGAAAGCATACCAAAACCGAACGAAGAACTGGTGTCTGCAAAACAATCACCAAGTCGTTTCCCAAGTCTGCGGCGACAGCTGGCCGCTGGAGCCAGACAGCGTCCGCGCGCAATTCAACGAATGGGCTAGAATCGAGCGACAGAACCATCAAAATGCCCATCCAGGATACAAGTTCTCGCCCGCGAAAGCCGGAACAGCCAAGGTGCCGAAGAGAAAGGTGTCGGTGTCGGATGAAGAATCGGGGCTCGAGGAATACGATTGGAAGGAAGACTGTAGCAGCAGCACCAGGGTGAAGCGCCAGAGGCTGACTCCCAAACCAAGTCACACTCCTCCTGCAAAATTCCAAACTCAGCCATACTATGGATTCGATATCAATTCGAGGGGCAGTAGCATGGAGCCAGGGATGGGTGGCAATTTTCCAAGTTCAGCGTACCACGCATCCAACCCAGGAAGGCATGTGCCAGAGCCGTACAGGCCGAATATCCCCGACGGACAGTACTGGCAGCAAGAGGTCGTGCCAAACATGCAAAACCCCAACATCCATGATGTGATATTGAGAAGGACAAGGGGTCCTCGCATGAATGCTGCGCCGCATCCAGGCTATCAGCAAGAGTATTACCCACCCAATGGCGCCATGAATGGTGGAATTCCTCAGCATTCCTTCAATGAACACAATGGAACCATGAATGGTGGAACTCTTCACCATTCCTTCAATGGGTACCAAGACGAGCAAGAGAACAAGATTGACCCTTCGCTCATGGGCCACGACCAGCCCTATGACAACTTATACACCGCCGATGATAATGAAGTATTCTTGGATAATAACGGGCTCATGTTCAACCAGCAATACTATCAGCAACCACTCGGAATCGCTGATGGAGGCCAGCAGCCTTTGCAGCACCAGCCTTCGCAGCACCAGCAGCTAGCAGTTGTCGACGGAAATCAGCAACCTTTGCAGCAACTACTGGAAATAGTCACAGATGGAGTGAAACAGGAGTACCCAGAGTACCCAGAGTATCCGGGATCGCAAACTGGCATTCCTGATACACCAATCTTAAACCAGCAGCTGGATGATCCGAACAGCCAGGACGTGTGGCATATCGTCGATAGCTTGGATACCGGAGACGAGTTCAATAAGTGGGTGGGTCCAGAATCAGAGCAAGAAGACTTGATGTGAATATTTTGATTGTTTAAGCGGGAGGAATCATCATGGCGTCTGTACGTCTGTATCAATGGGAAGAACACTCTGGAACTATCGTGGCGTCTTCATCATTTGGGAGGACACTCTGGAACTACCAAGGCGTCTTTATTCTTGGGAGGGGGGACTGAAACCATCAAGGCGTCTTTATTGTTGGGTAGGAGACACTGAAACCATGAAGGCGTCTTCATTATTGGGAAGAATGCACTGGAACTAAAGGCGTCTTCATTATTGGGGAGGGCGCACTAGAACTATCAAGGCGTCCTTATTATTGGGAGGATTCACTGGAATCATTGAAGCGTCTTTACCATGGGGGAGGATTCACTGGAATCATCGAAGAGTCTTCATTTTTGGGATGATCTGATTTGATACTCCATAGACGGGCGACTTGGAAATATCATCACGGTTCCGGCGAGACGTAGATAGGGTTTTTGTAAATGGATTTGTAAAGCCAATTGAAAGAAATTTGAAATGATGCTCTTAAAATTGCACCTGTGAGACGCTGCACTTGCACGAGAAACTAGAAATCATTTTCCAGTTAAGTATTCATCATTCGGGCAATGGCTTTGGAGGGCCTCGGCTCACCGAGGATAATGAAAACTTTTCATGAATAACACCCATTAATAAAATATGAGACCGTGGCTAACCACTTTAAGTTCCCATTCTTCATCGTGTATTGCGGTTGCTTACGATGCTCTCGGCAAGTATGTTGGCGAGAATGTCGTTAGAACAGAGTCTTGTGGAAAAAGCGCGATTGGCGCATTCAAGCGACGCGCTTGGACGTGACGTGTTGTACTACAGCCCCTCACCTTCAACCACAAGCTCGACAAACCTGCCCCATATCTGCTCAAATGTATGGCGACCTAGGTAACAAGCTCGTAAGTCTACATGAAGCATTGGCGGTACCTCGACTTTCCTAACAAACCACAAGGCTCAACACGCCAAGCGCACTCAAGGCCTGGCCAACCTGCCGCCGTACCAGACCGAGACAGTTCGCGCTGTTACCCGTGAAGCTCGCGAGTTACACAAAGACATTGAGACTATCACGCAGTCTCTCAATGGCTCTTTTACGCCGTCGGAGGACCCGGCTATGGCCTGTACGCTGCTCGTCAACCACCTGTTCATGAGACGAAATAAGCGCTGTTTGCTTGCATACCATAGGGTCAGGACTGATAAGCTAGAAGAGTTGGTCTGGAGCGGCGAGGATATTCTTGATGCGCCAGTTCAACAACAGAAGGCCCAGGAGAGCTACAACAGCAGGATTCAAAGCGGAGATGCGGCCGGCGGGGAAGTGGGCAATGGAGACAGCAGCAAGCATAACCTGAGCCCCGAGGAAGAGGAATATGTCAGAAAATACAGCGAGCTTTTGTCGTCATACACGGGGCAGTGGACGGACATTGACTTGGCGGGCAGTTTAGAGCCGCCGAGGGACTTGTTCATAGACGTGAGGGTCCTGAAGGATGCAGGAGAGATACAAACGGAATATGGGTAAGATATAGCTCCTATTGTGGTAGTGAAGCTGGCAGCTGTTTATACTAGCGACTGACATGATATACAGGTCGATAACTCTGACCAAGAATAGCCAGTTCTATGTTCGACAAGGCGATGTAGAGCGACTTATCGCCCAAGGATATCTCCAAAAGCTCAGCTAAACCAAACCTTGGATGCAATATCCTGATCACAGTCACGCTGTAGTCGAGCAAACCGAAGGAGTCTTCGACGAGACGCTCTGCCCTACGAATGTTACTAGCTGAATATCCTGTGACGATAGCCTGATCACAGTCACGATTCAGTCGAGCAATCCGAATGAACCTCGGAGAGGAGCGAGACGCTCCTCTCCGATGTCACTCGTTGAAGTCCTCAGGCTACGGATACAACCCCGCATCGAGTTCACTCAGCCAAGTTGGACTTGGGATGACGACAAGGGTCCTCTCTCAGTGTGTCCGAGGCTAGATGGTGAGGTTTACCAGAGTCAATGCGTCAGCAGAAAGAGCTTAAAATCTTCAATTGTTGGTGTTATATCTGTCGGGCAGCCACCGTGGCGGAAATATACTGGATCGAAGACACGTCCCTTAACACTCTCGTGGACTTGGTAGCATCCTGGACTCATGGCATTTGGCATTTGATTATATATATATGATATGCATGGTTCTACAAACACCTGGCCACGAACCGCAATTTCTGCACGAGGCTGATATCCATGCCCCACTCCCTTTGAATGGTGATAATATTATAACTGAACAAATCGATATTTTTGCATCTGGATAAAACATGCAGAGTATCCAATTTCCGCTAAATTGTACCCTGACAGTTGGGGTCCATGTCAGTCCAATCATTGGCATTGGCTACTATGACGTAGTGCGGGTTATTGGAGACATTCCATAGCCTTGCATCCTCGTGAGAACCACGAACATTCATTTGTCGGGTTAAAAACCAAATAATCCCCTAATATATAGAAAATATAATCTATAAATCAATAATTGTGAGAGTAGTCTTGGACCCTTTAATATCGCCAATCACCCCAACCTCTTAGCGCCAGTAACCACGGAACGGGAGCTAGCTACGTAAGAAATCTTGTCACTTATCTCTGACACGGACCCTGCGTTGCTCTAGACCCCGCTATTGAGCGACACGGCTATTATTCGTGCTATGGGTATAGATAGAGCTTGCTCTGCTGGATAGTGCTTGATTTCGTGCGACGGCATCTGCGAGCGCCATTGTAGCAATGTCGCTGCCAGCGTCCGAAAGACTCGCGCCATCGAGAAGGCAGAGGGCATCATCCGCAGTGACGACCGCACAGAACCTCCTCTGGCCAGTCCAATTAAGCAGTAGCCATGGAGATTCCAGTTCTCGGCCATCGCCGGGGTTGTCTGCTCGTTCTGGAGAGCCATCAGATCCGATTGACAGGCCAGCAAGCCCATCGAATGTGTACAGCCAAAGGGAACCGACAAGGTCTTTTTTCCACAGTTCATTCCGTGGGCAGCCAGGTGCGTATATGTCTAAAGTGCATTGTACATTGCTGATGCCGCATTTCTAGCACCCCATGATAGCCAGCAACATGCCCGCGATGTTCGAGAAGATACAGCTGAGCTTGCTTCGTACGCGCTCTCGGAGCAATCTCGCTCGATGATCGGCAGTTCGCCTCGACGAAGCTCATCGACGCATTCAAATGCTGGATCAAACTTAGAAGCCTGGGGAGATGGAGACGATGACAGCGCCACACCGCACGTATCCCAAGGCCCTACGAAGCCATCAATTATTGAGGAATTGTCGGAGCCAGGAACTCCACAGCATGAGGGACAGCCGTATAGGTCCCCGGGCACATCTGTATTGGCAGCTATGCTACGGAAGGCCTCTCCGGCTGCATCTCCACCAAGTAACGAGATTGATTCTGGGGAAGGAGATACTGCAGAGGATACCGGTGACGAGGAGGCCCTGATATCTGGCCAAGGAAAGAAGGTGCGGGGGAGAGAGGGGATCGATCGAGGGGAGGGGGATTCAGTAATGGCGGGAGGTGGTCGTGGGGATATTCACGGAGAGGAGGATCCCGTGCGGAGCGTTTTTTGTTCAACACCTAGTGGAGCAGACATCACGGAGCATACCCCATTACTTCGCCAGGTGTCGCAAGGACAGAGCCAACGGCCAAATTATCTCAGCGGAGGACATGACTTGGAGGCACAGCCAGTTCGAGGGACTAAGTCCTGGCCCAAAGTCAACAAGATACTCTCGAAGCAGCTGAGGAGAGGGCGCCGTGCAGCACGCTTAGTGTCAAGCCCAGAGAAGTGGGATAAGAAGGTCATATGGCAGAGATCAGTTGTTGAGCCAGCAGGATACATCCCGGCCGTTGTTTTGGGAGCGCTGCTCAATGTTCTTGATGCCCTCTCGTATGGCATGATTCTCTTCCCTCTCGGGGAGCCGCTGTTTGAGAAGCTGGGCCCAGCAGGCATATCGATGTTCTACGTTTCCTGCATAGTATCGCAGCTTGTATTCTCGTTCGGCGGTAGCATATTTAAAGGAGGCGTTGGCTCCGAGATGATTGAAGTTGTGCCGTTCTTTCATAAGATGGCTTTCACTATCTTGGCAACTGTCGGGGAGGACAACCCCAAAGCTGTCATCTCAACCACCATCACATCATATGCGATAAGCTCTATCCTTACTGGGCTAGTGTTCTTCCTGATGGGAGTCTGTCGCTTTGGATATATTGTTGGCTTTATCCCCCGCCACATCCTGATAGGATGCATCGGTGGTGTCGGTTGGTTCTTGATTGCCACAGGGCTGGAAGTTACAGCTCGCCTCGAGGGAAATCTCGAGTACAACAGGAAAACGTTGCACAAATTAATCCAGTTCGACACGGTGTTTCAGTGGGTAACACCACTAGTGTTAGGTTTGTTTCTATACCGCTCCTCAAAGATATTTACTGGCAAATACTATCTTCCGACATTTATATTACTGATACCCGCCATTTTCTACTTTTTTGTCTTTGCATTGCCACAGTTGGATATACCTCAGTTGAGAGAAGACGGGTGGATCTTCGATGCACCAGATGCGGATGAACCGTGGTGGTATTTTTATACATTATACGGTATGCTCCGGCTCCAAGATTCTCATTGGAATACACTGACACCTCCAGATTTCAAGCTTGTACATTGGAGCGCGGTCGCTGAAAACATTCCAGCAATGTTTGCCTTGACCTTCTTTGGTGTTCTGCATGTCCCGATCAATATCCCCGCCCTTGCCTTCAATATCGGAGAAGACCACTTGGATCTTGACAGAGAACTTGTTGCCCATGGTATCTCCAATGCGCTGTCTGGGTTTGCGGGGAGCATCCAGAATTATCTGGTCTACACAAACAGTGTGCTTTTTATCAAATCCGGAGGAAACAGTAGAATTGCCGGCTTCATTCTTGCCGTTGCAACTTTCGGGGTTCTCATGGCCGGTCCGGGGCTCATCGGGTACATTCCCGTGATGATGGTCGGTGTCCTCATCTTTGTGCTCGGATTCGAGCTAGTGTTCGAGGCTGTCTGGGATCCAAGGAAGAAACTCAAGCCTCTGGAGTACTTGACAGTCATCGCAATTGTACTGGTTATGGGAACATATGACTTCGTCGTTGGCATATTTGTTGGTATCGCACTGGCATTCGTTAGCTTAGTCGTGCAGACTTCGCGAGTGCCAGCAGTGCGAGCCTCTTATTCAGGAGAAATTGCTGGCTCGACGGTTCGGAGGAACCCGATCCAGCATGACTACCTTCGCCAGGTCGGAAGACAGATCCATGTTACTAAGCTCGCTGGGTATCTGTTTTTCGGAACTATTGTCGACGTCGAGGCGAGGATAAGGAGCCTGATCAAGGAGGAGGCGTTCAACCATCGCCCAATCCGCTATCTAATATTCGATTTGTGGCATGTCACTGGTATAGATTACTCCGCGGCCGAGGCGTTCAATCGCTTGAATAGAATCTTCAGCCAGAAGGGTGTAACTATTGTCATGAGCGGCGTCTCCTCAGAAAGCCCAATCGGCTTGAGCCTTCGAAATGTTGGCCTTGGTGAGGGAGGGAACGAGGTAACCCTGCTTCCGGACCTCAACTCCGCACTTGAAAGCTGCGAGAATGGGCTTTTAAAAGCTCTCTACCACAACAAAGACGAAAGGAATGCTCAGCATGCTCGTAGCGCGAGCGCCCTGTCAAGGGATGTCAATGCACGGCGCCTTTCTACAACATCTGCCCATCAGCCCTTCCCCACTCTACTTGGCTCCCCACGCGGCAACCACTTAGTCGTTGCAGCTACCAGGTCTCTGGAGACGGAGCATAAAAACTCCACACACAAGTGGCAGAATTTCAAGGAGCCTCTCCGTCTGATCCTCCAGACCTTCCAGGGACTGACCGATAAAAGCGAGGACTTTTGGTTCCGCGCCGTGCCCTACTTCACTCGCAAAGAGTACGCGGCGGGCACGACGCTTTTCCGTCGCGAACAACCCGCAGACGGTTTCTACCTTCTGGAGGACGGTATACTGAGGGCAGACTACGACCTACCCCAGGGACGATACTTTGAGAGCATCGTCGCGGGAACCACTTGTGGCGAGCTGCCTTTCTTCTCGGAGACGGAGAGAACGGCGACGGTGATCGCGGAGCGAGATTGTGTCGTGTGGCTGATGGATCGGGGGCAGTGGGAGGAGCTGCAAGAGAAGGATAAGGATGTGGCACAGGAGCTGCTGCGGATCACGCTGAAGCTGACCACAGAGAGAATGAGTGCTATTACGAGCTATGTGCTCACTACGGCTGGATAGCTGTACATATTGGAGCTGGCGCGATGGTTGTATATTTTGATATTTATGATGTATATGAAGGGTGGCATTTTGTAATTGGACCTAGCACATAGCATTTCGGGAGAGCGAGTGAGAGCTTCCTGCCGCCGTGCTGCGGATGTATACCAAGCTATGATGAAGGCATTTATTTGATATTAGCGGACTCCAGGTGAATTGGCTGAACGCAAAATAGTGCCAGTTTAACGAGTCGGAAGACTTCCTCCCAGGCCCACAAGCTCCAGCACGTGGAATGAGCATATCACCCCTGAAGCTTCGCGCGGGGAACGGGTCATTCGTACCTACTATATTTTCAGGCTGAATAGGGTTTGGGGCGTCTATCGAAGCCATGGAATGTTCCCTTTAGCCTCAAGACGCTTCATTCGACAACAACCCGGGTATTCCGCACCTGCTTACTTGCCGTGCATCTACAGGTACTTTCTCATAGATGAAGTGTAATTTCTCTCTTCACTCAAAGATGCCAAGCTGACTACTGGCGTCGTCTCTTCGGCGCCGGTTCTCCGGAACAGCGGCAGAGGAGGAAGTACACTGGTACAAGCGGATAATTACTGACTGACTTTGGGCAGTCTTCCTGTCATGTCGTATGTCAGTTTGGTCTTATCCAGGACCTTCCGGATCAACAGAAAGCCCCTCCTCTTCCGGTCCCCTCGCTTTGGCCCTGTCTATCTACCAGCTTCGAAGGGCAAGGTGGAAGCCAAGAATGCCGCTACGGCTGGCTATGAGATATTCACAGCTAAGATTCGGCATTATCAACCATAATCCCCCAAGGTTGACCCCAAGATTTGTTGGCTAGCACAGGTGGTAAACATGCCAACCCGTGCGTTGATATGGCTAGAATACACTCGTAAATTACCCGGCATATAAACAATCCGTCGATATTGCATCAACGACCCTTTTCTCCTCACTTGCTCCATTACGCTATATCACCAATTTCCACAAAGATGCAAGGCACCAGAATTGCGTACACGGCAAGATCGATTTAAATAGACTGGGGTTTCCTCTTTCTCGTTTCTTTTCAGTCATCCAGTTGCTCATCAGTTTTTATTGCTTCTCGTGGACTTAAGATATCCCCACAGCTGTCAAGATAAGTTTCAAGCTTCGGCCTTCGTTACCATCCCCGCAGTATCCGCAACACTTGGGTGGCCGTGGATAAACCCCCCGCCTGGAATTGGACATGGCGGCAAGCACAGCGACAACGATCTGCTAGCCGCGAAGGCAGGGAAGAAGTATTTCGGCACTGCCACCGACAACGGCGAGTTGAACAACAAGGACTATACAAAGATCCTGAACAACAACAAGCAGTTCGGACAGCCTACTCCTTCTAATGGACAAAAGGTAAGGCCCCCAAGTTAAATTCATATGCAATTGGCCAACCAAATGTGCCCGAGCTGACATGATATCAGTGGATGTACATTGAGCCAGAGCAAAAAATGTCTTCAACTTCACAAACGGAGAAGTTGTAGGCAACCTGGCCAAGAAGAACCACCAGATTCTCCGCTGCCACACCCTAGTCTGGCACAGCAGCTCCCCGAATGGGTTAGTTCCGGTCCAGTTGCCCTCACCCAGTGGAAGGGCAAGTGCTACGCCTGGGACGTCGTGAACGAGGCCTTCAACGACGACGGTACCTTCCGCGAGACCGTCTTCTACAACGTCATCGGCGAGGACTACTTCGCACTCGCCTTCGAGACCGCCGCCGAAGGTCGACCCGTCAGCGAAGCTCTGCATCAACGACTACAACCTTGAGTCGCGCAGCGACAAGACCAGGGCCGTGCAGAAACCCGTCCGCAGCCTCAAGAAGCAGAATGTCAGGATTGACGGTGTCGGCGCACAGGCGCATCTGATCGTTGGTTCCACGCCCTCGCTCGAGGCGCAAATCCAGAACCTCCAGGACTTCGGGGCTACCGGCGTCGAGGTTGCGCAGACCGAGCTTGATATCTGTTGATAATATAGGAAGATAATATAACCCTAACATGAAATCTATAACCATGTGCACCGCTTGGAACGGGCCGCTTGAACATAACATGTGGTATAAATACGTATGCTGTATAGTATGACACAATTTTTTTAAATAGATAGTTAGTTACAGTGAAACCTCAATATAAGGATACTTTTAGCGCAGGATATGGATATTTATATCCAAAACTCCTTGTGTAAAGTTTCCGTAACCATTAATCCACATCGCCGGATATCCTGACCTCGTCTCGAGACTACTGTATTGCTACTCCCGACCCATCACCTCCAAGCTGGAAGTCCAGAAACCCCACTTACATCTTACTCGGCATCCTCATACCTCCATCCAGTCTCAACACCGTGCCATTCAGCATGACATTCTCAATCGCATGCTTAACCAGCGCTGAAAACTCCTCCGGCTGCCCTTCCCTCTTCGGGAACTCCATAACCCTCTCCAAGCTCCCCCTAACCTTATCACTCATCATAGCCGTCATGTTCGACCTGAACAAGCTGGGCGCAATTGTCACAGCACGCACTCCGTAGCGGGCAAGGTCGCGCGTCAGCGGCAGTGTAAGAGACGCAATGGCGCCCTTGGAGGCAGCGTAGGCGACCTGGCCTGGCTGACCCTCGAAGGCTGCGGACGAGGCGACCATGATCAAGACGCCGCGCTCACCCTCAGGACCAACGGGGGGGACGGTGGTGAGGTGTGGGAGAGTTTGGCGGATCAGGTCGATGGTGCCGCGGACGTTAACGTTCATGACGAAGTCGAAGTCGTCGAGGGAGAAGGGGTTGCCGTTCCTATCGATGATCTGGGGGCATGACAGTTAGTGGCTGTTTCGTGCAGGTGAGGGGTTGTGGGAATGGTTACCTTCGCGGGCGTAGAGACACCAGCAGCGGCAACGACGCCGCCGAGCTCATAGCCGGTCTCCTTGATCCATGCCAGCGAGCCCTTGACGGCCGTGGCAATGGACTCAGTCTCAAGGACGTTGGCCTGGAAGAACTTTGTGGATTTGGGGTATTCCGCGACGAGGGTAGCCGCGAGCTCCTCGTTCATATCGAGGACAGCGACGTTGCCGCCGGCCTTGACGAGGTCGACGACGCAGGAGCGGCCGAGGCCTGATGCGCTGGGAGTGTTAGACAAGGCTGACGTTTCTCATAAGAGAGGTGCGAGTGGTAGACTTACCCGCCGCTAATGAGGAATGTTCTGCCTTGGATCTTCATATTTGCGATCTTCAAAAATGTATATTTAAGAAACTAAAAAGAAGATAACTTCCATTGGAAAAAGTCGTCTCATACTCCCCAAACTCCCCCACAAGCCCCAGGACGGGCACTACTCGTACCTCGGTACCCCATTTCCCCAACCACTAATCCCCATTGAGCCTAGCCCACCCGTGACGGCCTTCTATCAACGCCAACCGCCAACCGATAAGGTATCTATCTCAAAGGAGGACATCGCGGCTCTCACCACCATCATCACAACGCACACAGTACCGATTTAACATCCGTACGCCATCCCTCTCGTGCAGCGCAGCTCACGATCCGTCCCGCGATGGTGCGCCAACGCCGTTCCTCCGCCGCGAGCGAGGACTCCGGCCACACGGCAAGGGACCAGGTGCGTGCTCTCCCTTTCTTCACCCCTGGCAACCCACTTACAGACCCCGCAGGAGCTCGGAAGCATGTACGATTACCTTGCGAAGATTGTTTTGCTCGGCCCCAGCGGCAGTGGGAAGTGCGTTTACCCCTCTCCTCCCTTATCGCACAAAGATCGCTAACCCACCGCCAGATCATGTCTCCTCCACCGCTTCATCAAAAACGAATGGCGCTCCCTCTCCTCCCAAACCATCGGCGTCGAGTTCGCCAGCAAAATCATCCGCATCGGCACCGGCTCGCGAATGAAGCGCATAAAGCTTCAACTCTGGGACACCGCTGGCACAGAACGCTTCCGTTCCGTCTCACGTTCGTACTACCGCGGTGCTGCGGGCGCGATCCTGGTGTACGACATCACGTCTGCAGCGACGTTCGCGGCGCTGCCGCCGTTCCTGGCCGATGCGCGGGCGCTGGCGTCGCCGAGGCTGACGACGCTGTTGGTGGGGAATAAAGGGGATTTAGCGGGTGGGGGAGGGGGAGAATCGTTATTGGATTCGGCGGTTCCTGTGGCGCCGAGCTCAGCGAGTGCAAGGAGCGAGAGGAGTGGGTGGAGTGAAAGAAGTGAGAGGAGTGATGGACTTGCGGGGGGTAGTGTGAGGGGGCTTGGGGCAAGGTTGCAGGCTTCTGAGGCGCCGGAGGGGAGGGAGGTTGGGGGAGAGGAGGCGAGTCGGTGGGCGAGTAAATCGGAAATACCAGTAGCGGTTGAGGTGAGCGCGTTGAGTGGGGAGGGGGTGGACGAGGTGTTTCATCGTCTGGCGAGGATGATTTTGACGAAGATCGAGTTGGGGGAGATCGATCCGGATGATCCGCTTAGTGGGATACAGTATGGTGATATGGGAGGCGGATGGGAGGACGGGGCGAGTATCAAGAGCGGTGTTGGTGGGGAGAGGAGGAGAGGGGGGCTGAGAGAACGGGAGGATGTGTTTACATTGAGTGGACGGGCGAGGCGGAGGGGGAGATGTTGTTGATAAGGTGGCTGCACATATTGCTTGAAGTGCGGGCACATACAGAAAGAGACAGAGAGAGGGTTATGGTGCTGAGCGCCGGGTGTTCGTTTCAGCGGGCGTTGACGTTTTATTAGCTAGAATACGTAATGCATAATGGAGAGAGAGCGCGTGGCGCCGTGGAGGAAGGGCCTGCAGTCGGATCAATTCATACATCGATAGGAAGGTAGCCCACAGCGCAGTTTGCAACGATTGCAACTCTTTGTTTGTCTGCTACGTATGATACCTTCGATCATGAGAGGGAGGTTTTAATTAACGTGCCTCGTCTTTGCATCTGGGTGTTGCAGCATATGCCTTCGATAATGATCGGGTCTTGAAAAGCCCTGCCTTATTCCACCCAAAGAGAATTTGCAGGAAGAGTATGGACAGTAGAACCGATGGGAATCCCTCTTGTAAAGAGTCAGACTCTAGGGCGACATTTTGAATTGAAGATGTAGAGATGTGATTGTGAAAAGTTTGTGTTTCTTGCGCAAACACGCGACTTGCAGGTGGAACGTGGAAATCTTTTATCCAACCAGCGAGGGTCAATAGTACGATATAGATGTTGTTGTTCTTCGACGTTTGCTGGACTAGAACTGAAGACTTGAGTTTTGTATCTGCCTGAAAGAGCGGGGTCTCCTCTGTAATGTGCAGAGGAAACCCTGCGAGAAAAATAAATAGATGGCCCAAAACCTAGCAATGAAATGAGTGACTGTGGTAAGTTTTCAAAAGAGTGATGACTTGCACACCCGCTTTGATGCGCAGTGAAGAAGAATGAAAAAATGTTGAGGTCGGGGGATTTTACTTATATGTGCTGCATCGATGTTCTCCTCGTGTTGATTGGTTCTTACCGCTGGTAGGCCTCAAATTTAGCTTGATGCACCGCCAACCTCCCCATTAGGTGCTTGAAAATGGTAGGCCTCAAACTTAGTTTATTGTAGAGTGGCATATTACAGTTCGTGTTGCTTAGCTAAGGATAGTAGGCCTCAAATTTAATTTATTGTAGAGTGTCATACTACAGCTCGTGTTGCTTGGCTGAGGATAGTAGGCCTCAAAAATGCATCATTCCCTTCCTATTACTGGTCTTACTCATGCACATATTCATAATGTGACTAAAGCCACCCAAGAGCTGCCGTGAAATGGACTATTTGACTCCCTGTTTTCTATATTATCCTGGATCCAACTAGTTGTGGGATTCTAAATAGATATCATATCGCCTTTCTTAGTATCAGAATAACTATATATCATCGACCTGTCCCGTTTCCCATTGTGATACTTTCTAAAAGTCTGAAATACAGCCCACTCTTTTCTTCGTTATCTTCCTAGCCTTGCGATGACCCATCATAGTGCATTATGACGGCAGTATTTTGCTGTCCTTCAGGCCCGAAGCCCTACCGTCCCCAGATCCTCAGTCACGAACCGAAATTCGAGGCGTTTCTGCGCTGGATGCCGGCAGCCCAGGAGGCATCCACAGATGGAACCACTGAGGGCAAAAGAATCCTATCCGATGACAGCTCCACATATGCCGTCCAGGTGGTTCGGCAAGTCAACTATGGCCCACCTGAGTCCAAGCGATACTTCGTTTCTGGAGATGGCGGAAGAGGAACAAATTTATACGAGATCACAGAGGGAGATTTGATTGAGGCTAACTTCGAGAAGCCGAATGCGTGAGTGCATGTGGTTCGTTTTGCCGTCGCCCAGCACTGACGGCTGTGATAACTATGCGACAGCCACAATAAATTCTTCGAATTTAACATCTATCCGAAGAATCCTGTGAACAAACACCATTGGCGTGCTAACATCGCCCGCCCAGCAGGGGATATTGACATTTAGTCCCGCTAGGTTTGGGTCCTGCGGTTGTAGTTACATTTCATTATGTGGGGCCGAATACTACATAAGCTGTCTTTTCTAGTAGTTATTTTTCTTCTATAAGAAAGCTTGAGCATAATTCTCCTATCATCAGGAGAGATTAGGGGGCTATAACAAGAGTTTCGTTGAAAAAATCCAATCATTACATTTCAAGAAAGTCACATTTATTTCCCTTCCAAAAAATATAATTCAAGACGCTCAATTTTATCATTTCACACTCCATACATTATCCTAAACATAAAATAACACCCCCTACGCTAAAACACTAACTACCACACTACACTAACTACCACACTACACTACACCCCCCAACAACCCACTTAACCAAGCGTATCCGTCTTCTTCGCTGTCTCCTCAATCTTACGAATGGTATCCAGCACCGAAGTGTGCTCCGGGATCTCTACTGGCGCCGCTGGCTCAGAAGTCTCCGCTGGCTTGGCTGCTTCAGCATCCGCAGGTGCCTCAGTGGATACTGGAGCGGGCTCCTCGGTCACTAGCGCCTCCTCAGTCTTCTCCTCGGTCACTGGCGCCTCCTCAGTCTTCTCCTCGACGGCAGCTGGTGCGGACTCCTCAGCTGCAGGAGCAGCGGCCGCCTCAGTGGCCTCATCAGCCTTTGTTGCATCGACGACTGGCTCGGAGTTCTCGGTGGCCTCATCAGCCTTTTCGGATTCGACGACTGGCTCGGTCTCAGTGGCGACGGATTTGGTGGTCTCCTCAACGGGTGCAGCAGCCTCGGCCTCAGGTGCAGCAGCAGTCTCCTCTGGTTTCTCAGCCACTGCCTCCTTCTCGGCAACAGCAACGGCAGGTGCCTCGACCTCCTTCTTCTCCTCTCCCTTCGCCTCCGCCTGCACATCCCCCTCGTGATTGGGCCCCCTAATCAGCACCTTAGTCCCCCTTCCCTTAAGCACATCCTCAAACGCCTGCTCCGCATCCTTAAACGGCACCTCCCTGCTCACCAAGCTCTTAACCTCCAGCGAACCTCCCGCCACCAGCTGCACAGCCAACTTGTAGTCTCCGCTGCCATAACGGAAGCTTCCCCTCATTGTAATCTCCTTAGTGCACAAAGCCATGATAGGGAACGTAATATCTGGCTTCCCCATCCCTGCCTGGACGTACACGCCCCCACGGCGTACAACGTGGATGCTAGTCTGGATACTCGGCTCAGCGCCACTAGCATCGATGACTGCATCAGCTCCCTCACCGAGATCAGCAGACTTAATGAGGTTCTCGGCGTTCACCTCAGCAGCAACGCGCTCAGGCATGAACGTATGCGTCGATGCGTAGTTCTTTGCGAAATCGAGACGGTCCTGCTGGATATCCACGCTGACGACTTTAGTAGCACCGGAAGCCTTCGCAACGGCACAGCAGAGGAGGCCGACGGGGCCGGCGCCCATGACGACGACGGAGGCGCCGGGGGAGATCTGGGCTTGCTTTGTGATGTGGACTGCGACGGCGAGGGGCTCAACGAGGGCGCCTTCCTGGAGGGAGACTTGGTCGGGGAGCTTGTAGCAGAAGTCCTCAGGTGCGGCGTAGAAGCCGGTGAGGGTTCCGTCGTAGGGCGGGGTGGCGGCGAAGCGCATATCGGGGCAGAGGTTGTAGTGGCCGCTCAGGCAGGGCTCGCAGTGGCGGCAGGGGGTTCCGGGCTCGATAGCCACGCGGTCGCCGAGCTTGAGGGTGGTGACGGCGGGGCCGACGGCGGCGATTGTGCCGGAGGATTCGTGGCCGAGACACATGGGGGATTTGAGGACGAAGGGGCCGATGGAACCATGTTGCCAGTAGTGCACGTCGGAGCCGCAGATGCCGGTGAAGGCGATGGCGACGAGGACGGAGCGGAGGTCGGTGAGGGTGGGGATTGGGCGCTCTTCATAGGAGACATTGAGGGTGGAGTTGAGGATGAAAGAGAGGTTCTGGGAAGTGTTACAGGGAGGTTTGGAGGCGGGGGACGGGGAATTGGGGCGTACGCTTTTTCCTTCGGTGAGAGAAGCCATTTTGACTGTTCTTGTCGTTTTTTCTGGCGTGTGTTTTGTGGTGGCCGTCGCGATTGAGTTGTGAGAAATTCAATGCAGTGCTATGCTATCACAATGGCAGTCGCGTCGTACCTTCTCAAATGTCGTAGTCGTACCTTGCCAATGACGCAGTAGAGAATAAGAGCGAACCAAACTTGCAATTGATAGATGATCGATGATCTCAGCACTCCAAACGCTCTTATATACGCAAGAAGCTATAATACAGGAGGCAGCAACAGAAAACGGTGAATGAAGAAAAGGAAGGAGGAGGAGGAGGAGGGAGAAGAAGAAGCAATAACTCCCCTCCCCGCCTCATCCCCGATATTCCCCCGCCATCCCCAACAAAAACCGGACCCCTAACATCAATGAGGCAGCATGAAGAAGTTGCTCACATCAGCTGCCCCTCCTCCTCCGTCTCGAGCTTTCCAAGGTGCAGTTCACTTCTCCATGCAGTAAAGAAGCTATGGCATCTCACAATAGCACCAGCACCCCCACCAACGTACCCACCTCAAATGCGACGACACTACTCGCACCTCCGCCGATCTAGCGCTAACTTATTGGAAGAATTACCCTTGCACTAACTCGACTTTACCCGGGACCCCCTGGGCGAACAACATGGAATTGTCTTTTGGCTTTTATCAGACCTGCCCTTCCAACAGCCAACCACCCGCCACCACCAAGAGGCTGTATATGTACCCCACTGATTACTGGAGAAAAACTGACAGTGCCCCACGGGAGTTGGAGAAAGATGCGGGCGGGTCTGATAAGCTCTCTTTCACTTTAGCCGAGCTGCATGGCTCCGGTCTAGCCAGCGCTAGGGAGAAAATGCTACCGCGTCAATTGATGGCGACGATGAGCAAGGGTATCTTGTGTGTGGGAATGGACAAGCTCTAGAATGGAACGAGCGAGGGAGGGGAGATCAGAGGCAGGTGCGTGGGATGAAGAGCGGTGAGCAAGAAGGAAATGAGATCTCGTGATGATGGCAATGACAGTGCAGTTGCAGTTGCAATCTCAAATGGCATTTGATAATTCGAATGTATGTACGAAACGCCCGCATTCTATCCTTTCCGTTCTTTTCATTCTCACCCTTCCCCCAAAAGCATACAATCATTTTACTTGTATGAGCCCCATCCCTCTCTCATCCCAATCAGACCCCCACCCCCCTCCACAGCAAGAGCCGCTCAAATCATCCCCAAATACCTCGTCCCAATAACCGTATTCTTCCTGGCCCCCAAAACCCCAATCCTCACCACCTCACCCGGCACAATATCCACCAAATTATCCGCAAACTTCACCTCATCGTCCTCACACTCCAGCGCGAGCCCCTTAATCGGCACCTCGGCGCTAATCTCCACCGTGCGTGCATCCGCCGTCAGTGTTGCCGTGAGGCACTGAGGCTTCGCCAGGTGCGCGTACTTGAGCGGCTCAGGCCAGTTGACGTAGCGCGCAACTTGCACGCCGTCCTCAAACAGGTATGCCGCGACGACGGCGCGGGACTCCTCGCCGGCGTCGCGCTTCTTGACCGGCACATCCAGGGCGATAATCTCGGTGCTCTGGTTCTGTGGCAGGTAGAACGCTGACTTGACCGTCTTGTTGTAAGTTTCCTTGCCAGTCTCGACATCGAAGGCGGACACGACGACGTCGACTACCATGTCGCACAGTGTCAGGTTAGAGCCCCAGATCTCGATAGTGTGCTTGGTGTCAACGTAGACGCGCGTGTGCTTGTCTCGTGGCGTTGTTGTGTGCGTCTCCGAGTTCGGGATGGAGGCCTTCCCGAACATCAAGACGATCGAGTCCTTCCTGCCATATCCCGCACGACAGCGGCGCCATCTCGCGCTTGACGGTGTAGTAGGCGTGCTTGGGGCGGAGGAAGTAGTCGACGATGGCCCACGAGGTGACGGGCCAGCAGTCGTTGATCTGCCATACCAGTGCTCCGGCGCAGTACTCGCGGACGGGTCCCTTCCATTGGCGTTTCCAGAGGCGGTAGGCGCTCGCGAGGCACTCGCCTTGCATTAGCTGCGTGGAGTAGATGTACTGCTCGATTGGGTTGGGGGAATACTGCATGTTCTCCACGAGGTACAGCGCGATACGGCGCTCGTGCCCGTCGGCTTTGTTATGGAAGTCGACGGTTGAGGACTGTGGGTAGCGGTCTGGGTCATCCTTGCCGAGTGGCAGGAAGGACTCGATCGTCTTGATGTTCGGGAAGGCCTCCATCCCGAACTCGGAGACGAAGCGTCCGCCCAGCTTGTCGAATTTTTGATACTTCTCCTGGGTGCCGTGCCACACGTTCCACTGATGAATATCTCCAACGGTGTTATCGTGTGTATCGCGCCCCTTACCCCACGGGCTACCGGGGTGGTAAGGCACATCGGGGATGAGCTGCCTACATGTGTCCGAGAGGATATTCTCGTAGATATATCTCGCCGGGAAGTCGGTCTTGAGCCAGCTCTCCTCATCCTTGTTCTCAAAATCGTAGGTCAGGTTCTCGCTCTCCTGATATTGGTAATCCTCGTTGTTTCCGGCCCAGATAACGATCGATGGATGGTGACGCAGGATCTTCACGTTATCATCCGCCTCCCTCTTCACCAAGTCCAGGAACTCGGGGAACGCGGGGTAGTTGCCGCATCCGAACAGGAAATCCTGCCACACCAGTATTCCCAGCTCGTCGCACGCATCGTAGAACGGCTGCTCCTCGAAGATACCACCACCCCACACGCGGATCATCACCTGATTGCCATCCGCCACCAGCTTCACCCAATCGTAGTACTTCTCAGGGCCGATACGGGGGAGAAAGTTGTCCGCTGGGATCCAATCGCTGCCTCCACAGAAGATAGGGACGTTGTTGACCTGGAAGAAGAATGATTCTCCCGGCTCGTCCTTCAGCGGCCGCTGGATGAGCTCAGCTCTCCGTAACCCGAACCTCTTGCTCTCAACGTGAATATCGTAGGCCTCAGAGCGCGTAGCCACAAGCGTAGCGGTAATTGTGTAAAGAGGCTGCTTGCCGTATTTGATAGGATACCACAGCGCCGGGTCAGTGATATTGATATTGAACGTAGCTGTTGCACGCCCATCAACCACCTTTGCCTGCTCGCTAGCCACAGCCTCTCTATCCAGCGTAATGTCAAACCTGACCAGCGAAGCTGAGCCCTCGACATCCGCATTTCCGATGACCTTTGCCGCCTTGAGCGACTCCTCCACATCCATCCGGAAATAGAGGTCCGCTATCCTCGACTCGTAGATCTCTAGGTTAATCGGGCGCCACGGTCCACAGGTCAACATAGTTGGTCCCCAATCCCATCCCTGTAAAAATTAGTATTTCGTTGCATTTAATCCTCGGCTTAAATGCTTGGGGAGCTACTCACATAATGATACTGCGCCTTGCGCACCGCAAGTCTTGAGACATCACCATTCCAGCACCCCCACTTGTGCTCTGGGTATTTGTCAACAATCTGCTTGCCTTTTAAGAAGGCGCTGTCAAATGTGATCTCGAGCTCGTTCGGGCCGTCATTGTTCAGGTAGGCTGTGACGTCCACCCGTTCCCGGATGAACATGCTCTCCGTCTTGAGAATCTCAGTGCCATTGAGCACCGCTGTGGCGTACGTGTCCAGGCCATCAAAAGTCAGCACCGCCTTAGCGGCAGAACCCTCCTCTGTGCCTATAGCGGGAGTTTCAAAAGTCGTCTTGTACGCCCACACTGCCTCACCGATCCATTGCACATCGAGCTCGTTCTTTCCCATAAACGGGTCTGCGATGATGTTGTTGGCGATGAGATCAAGGTGCACATTGGTGGGGAATTGGGCGACGGGAAGCCATTTTGATTTTTCTGAGTCGACCTGCTTGAACTCCCAGTCCTCGTTGATGGGGATGGTAGTATGCGACGTCATGGTGGAGGCACGTGGTAGCTGGCGCGGCGGGGTGTCAGAAAAGGTAGTCTTAGTTCGCGTAGCCAGGGTAGCTGAGGGTATATGTATGCACGCAGGCAGGGAGGATGATGGAGCGTGGGATGAATTGCTAGACGGTAGAATGGGAATTGGGGTTGAAGTCATGCAGCGTCTTATAGCCTTGAGTGGGTGGCAGGGTCATGCATCTAGGTACGATGGATATAGAGTTTGCATAGCCGCAGGCTGATATAGTATGCGTGCTCTCGGAGGAGGTCCGCGAGGTGTGGAGCGGAAGGAGGTAGATGAACGCTTCACCACCAGTCCCTTGAGAAGGCAATAACAAATGGCGGGGTGTGGAGTCGAGGCTGGCCCGTTTGGGAGGATGTGCACAGCGTGTTTGGACTGTTTGAATTGAGAAAACCGGGCCTTGGGGTGAAATAGCCGGCCTTTGCTTTGTTGGCTTTCTCTAGTTCCCTTGCTTCCGATTCCGATATAAGCAATATCCTAGTGATGCGCCTAGGACCGAGTCAGGAAGTCGGAAGGAACAAAAGTAATGGTGTTGTGGAAGAAGTGGGACGGCGTAATGGAGCATGGTGGCTTCTTCTTCTTTTAGTGGGAGGGGTAGTTAGGGTGGAGATCGTTAGCCACTCTTGGAGCAGGTATGGGGTACACAGTATAGTGACACGGCGGCGGCAATATAGACGTCGAATTGTACTGAACTACGCTACAGTACGATTATAGTGGTACAGCGGTACAGGTGCCCATTGCCAATAGACACGGAAAGAAGGGGTCCTGTGCAATGGCACGGAGTAAGTTACAGATAAATAAACAAGCAATGTCTTGCTATACTCATCTATCCAAGGAAAATCTCTTGCCGTGAGCGCCCCGCCCTATCTATACTTGAACAGAATACTGCACTCCTCGGCGTTTAGAGGGCGGTAAGGGCGGTAAGGACCAGTAATCAAGAACACAATTACTTTAGCGGAGCTCTGGTGGTTCCTGCTGTGCAAAATACAGTACCTCATCTCGCCCGGTGAGGTGCCGCTGTCGAGGAACGAGCCGCCGTCGTTCGGGGGATGACAGCCCTTTCGGCACGGATCCGCAGTCTCCGAGGCGCCTGTTGCGGCATGGCGCGTAAATAACTGCACGGACCTGCTAGCGCACCTCGTGTACAGGACCCCTTCTTTCCGTGTCTATTGGCAATGGGCACCTGTACCGCTGTACCACTATAATCGTACCCCAGTCCATGGAGCTAATGGCGCTAGTGCCATACTTGGCGCACCACGACAACCAGATCGGACGAGCTGGTGGTGGCATGGCGGCGAGGCTGGGACATAACATCGGGATATACAGTTCTGCGGAATGCCGGTTATCAACAGCAACAGCAACAGGAACAACAATAGCAGAAGCTGAAAGAGCATGTAACGTTGGATTCCTGCTCTACTTTCGACCGCCCTCTCCCCACTCCCGTGGCGCAATCCCCAGCCCACGTTGAGGTGTGCCCATAGGTCCTACAGCCGTTCAAGCCTCTTATATGTAAGCCAGCACGAATGGAGCCCCGCCGCGTAAGTTTCAGTATATGATAAGATGGCGTGAGCCGTAGTTGCCTCTCTTTCCTTTCTTTGAATGTCTTCCGCGGATTTTTATTACGTCTATCTATTACATTACTATGCCCCAGTCATAGAGGAGCGGAGAGGTAAGTGACTCCAAATTTAATTCTCGGGGTTTATCGGCCACTCCGTGATCTGCCCCCCATGTCCAGGCTCAATCTCCGCACCGAGAATCGAGACAAGCTTGCGAGAAGCCGCGGAGGGATAATCACGGACGGCGCATCTCCATATTAACCAGGCTCCGTTGAGGACTATAGAAACGGAAACTGTAGGTTGCTCATAATCTACCTCATCCACTGCCGGAGACGTTGGGATGTCGCCTGTGCTTGGCTGGACCGGAGCGCTAGTGAGCAGTGACAGTGGTATGTTGGCTGATGTTTTGAAGCAGTAGGACGGAATTATAGCACGATAGGTTATAAATGAGTGTGTTTGATTTAACGTTAACCATCCTCAGTGTCCAAACTGCCAGCCAGGTCGGTGCACCACAACTATGAATTTTGTGTTGGACGTCATAAACTACAATAGAAACAATGCCGCTGTAAGATGCAGCGGCATTGTTTCTATTGTGACGACCTAAAACGGAACACATTAACATAGTACCTTAGAATGCTTCACATACACTAAAGCAACAGAGACGTAGGCGACCAGAGAAATAGAGTAATATACCTTGACACCAGGAGCTGAAGTGGCCGTAACTTGGGTGGTCTGGGCCTGGACAGAGGTTTGCCTATAGACTATTAGATAACTGCTCATTGCCAATAATTTAGAGGGAAAAAGGAAATGCATGGAATGCACGTAGTGGATGTTTGGGTCCATTATTGCGGTGGAATGCTGATAGTGAGTGTTTGAATCGGTGTAGTTTTATATTGTTGATTGCTCTTGTTGGTGATGCTTCATTGCCACTTCTGTGAGTTTGCACACTCAGTTGACCTCTATACTTGAACCCAGACATATGTCCAACTCCAGCTTCAATCTAGGTGCAGTTCATTCCCGTACCTGTGATTCTGTACATCTCGATAAGCTCTCTTGAAATCCACCTCACCAATACCAGTCCTTCGTAGTCGTTGTCCTACCGTGTTACACACAATGCTTGTGCTGCTGTTAGATAATTATGACTACAAATAACACAGTTGTCAGACTAAAAGCCAAAGATCCCGATATAATACAATAGGCAGAGTACGAGTATCGGCGACCTAGTACACAAGTGGACCTTAGGATCAATGGGTCTTCTTGGAACGCTTGGTTCTTACAAAATCTTTGACCCAAAGCTATGATAGCCGTGGTGCACTGGCGTGACCGACATGTAGTTTCAAGAGGATAGTTGCACCATTTTACGCTCGTTGAGATTCTAAATAGCTACTGTTACAGCTTGACTCATAACACTTGTACGCTACCCATCGTCCACGATTTAATCGCGATCTGTAGGAAAGGGGGAAACAATGTGCCTCGGTGTACACCGCCTGTGCCACCGTTGCCCTACCCCCCCTACCCTTCTCACTCAGCCACATACAGTAGCCATCGCGCTCGAGCCATATATTTATAAATAGTTATCCCATGAGAGAGCGGTAGAACAAGTAGTGGCTTCTTCCACTATATCGACTTGAGGTTGCAAAGCAGGCACACGAAAGCTGTGATAGGAAGGCAAGTAGCTAGCCTATAATCGTCGCTAGGATCAAAGGCAGCGATCGACAACTTGCAGCTTCTTAGCAGAATGGGCCGTCGTACACGCACCAGGTGACGGCCTAAGAAATGTTAGAACTGGCGTACCACAGGCTCTCAGATCGGATCTCATGTGAGATCTGAAGGGCAAACAAAAGAGCTCCTGTGGGATTGTGGGGAATATAAAAGAAGGGAATTCTGACTTTAACGCCCGTAGCTGGAGCGGGAGGCGCCGTGGTGGAGACACGTCTGTGACACAGGGACCGGTCAGATAACCTCTCCGCGGAATAGTCAGGTAAAAGAAGAGTATTCGTACGGGGTGCCAGTGTTTGGCTCCATTTTGACCACCGAAAAGGCGTGATAGTAACTGTTTAAGCTTGATATCTTCTCAGGTCGTTGATTACTCTTTGCTAATGTTGATGTTCAGCAAAAAGGGGGGTATGTAGCTTGGGATTTCATTCTTATAACCTACACGGCGCCACTCGCGGGCTGACGATATGCATGCCTGCCACATCTCAGCTTCGTTCGGACAGCGCCACATCGCTTGTTCTGTCACCACGCATACTCGTGCGGCACAAATGTTTTCGAATAGGTTGTGCGGAGCTTTCAATCAAAGTTTCTAGATTTTCCGTATAAATTGTATTATTGGTAAACGCCCCGATCATTGCTTCGTTCGGGCCCATGAGCGCTTTTGTGCCGCATATGGCCTGTCTTAATTATCGATAAGGTATCTCGTATCTTTCAAGTGTAACAGCCATAGGACAGATGGTAGTGAGCTAGCCGCAATCTAAAATATGACTCCCGATCAGTAATGCAGATTTCCATGGACTAAGGAGCAGGTAGGTGAAGCTTGCCGCCGTTTAACAATGCCAATCAGGGCAGAAAAGACGACATTAAATAGAAAATCATTAATATAGTGTTTTGGGATGCTTCACATTTGCTGAAGCAGCATAGACTTGTGAGAAATAAAGTGACTGCAGCAGAACTTACGTATAAGAATACCATCGAGGAATATGAACCAATTTTAATACTGTAATAAGATTGTTATTATTTTGAAGATGATATGTTGACTCTTCTAAAAGATTTGTGACCGACAAACAAATCTAAACAATGCTGTTCTTACAAGTTAGATTTTTAACATTGATAATTCATAGGCAATGCCTCGAATACTCAGTATAACCAACAACTTCGGCGTTTACAATTTCAGGGTCTTGACGTCTTGTGGGGTGAGGACGACCTCTGTGTCCACACTTTTGAACATTAAACTGCCCGCAAAGGCAGTTTCCTCTACGACCACCATGATAAATCGAGAATATGGGCATCTTTTGCCCGCATGATAAATCTGGAAACACGTGTGCGCTGCTCCTCAATTTATATTTGGAGCAGGGGCAACGATATGATAGCAACAACGGAAGGTTTCAAGCACGAGAACTTCCCACTCACTCTAGCAGACAACGAGTGGAGATCATTTCCAGTCCATCGGCCCAACCGATCTGCATGGAATAAACGTCCCATAAAGTTTGGCACCGAATGTCCTGAATGGTCTGTTGCTCATATAAAGATTCTTGCTCGTTGGTTTTTCTTGGTGATAATGATACTTGCTCTATACGGTTTCTGGCTCTACATAAATGGCAAAGGTAAATGGCGGAGTCGTCAATGAATATTTCCAAGTTATGCTTTGGTACAGGCAGCAAAGAGCACCCTCATCGATTTATCATACAGCCGGCCTACGATACACGCACAGAGCTGCAACCGCACTCATTACCCCGACAACGTAGTCAGTTCCCCTCCTCCGCCTTTCCCCCACTTCTCTATATTCCGCACAGCCTCCTCCGCCCACGGTCTCAGCGTCCCTTCCTCAACATACCCCATATGCGGTGTGAGCACGAGCCTGCTCCTCCCCTCCTTCCCCCACTTCTCACTACGCCACTCGCTCTCCTTCGGTAGTGGCTCAAGCTCATACACATCCAGCGCCGCCCCTCCAATCTTGCCTTCCTTCAGCACCTCCAGCAGCGCCTCCTCGTCAACGAGCGGACCGCGCGAGGTATTAACCAGAAGCGAAGATGGCTTCAATAGTGCCAGCTCCGCGCGCCCAACCACCCCACGCGAACGCTCCGAGAGGACATAATGCACACTAACCACGTCCGCGCGGCGGAACAGCTCCTCTTTCGTCACAACCTCGAACGTCTTGCCCCACGCACTCTCGATGAGCAAGCCTTCAGCAGCGGCTTTCTCATCTGCTGCCTCCTGAGTCAGACTAGAGCTCCAGGCTACCACGCACATCCCGAATGCGCGATACAGGATAGAAGCTACGGCAATACCGAGGCGGCCGAGGCCTACGATACCGACTGTTCTCCCTGCCAGAGGCAGGGCGAGAGTGGTCTGCCATGCGCCTGTCTTGACGGCTAAGTCATCGGCAGGAATGTTGCGCGCAAGGGCGAGGATGAGAGCGATAGTGTGCTGCGTAGTACTATCCGGCCCGGGTGGTGCATCAGCAGGCTTGCCACAAAATGACGTGCCGACGACGGCGATACCGAGGCAGCGTGCTGCATCGAGGTCGATAGCGAGGTTGCGGGTGCTGGTGGTCTGGAGGAGCTTGAGGTTTGGGAGCTGCTCGAGGAGGGCGCCGGGGAAGGGGGTGCGTTCGCGGATTGTGGATATGATTTCGAAGGGGGCGAGGCGGGCGACGAGCTCGGCTTTGCTGGAGGTGGCGGTGGAGGGGTGGGCGTAGGAGGGGAGGGTGGAGGGGAAGTAGGTTATTTCGAAAGCGGATGAGGGGAGTTTGGCCAGAAACTCGGAGGAGATCTTGTGGTAGTCGTCCAGGACGGCGACTTTGATGGGTGCCATTGAGCTGGTGACGGAGAGAAAGATGCGGGGCGAAGAGAATTAGAATTGAGAATTATAGATTTGGCTCTTCGTAGTTTGATAGAAGTTGAGATCAATAGATTCTTCATCGGCGTGAATGGCGGAGTAGTCAATCTCAAGACGATATCGGATAACCCGAACGTTTCTAATGCCATATTCGCACTCGAAAGCCGCAAAACGCGATTGATCATATATCCTTCTCGTACACCAGATAATGAGGTTGTATTCACCGCCTGGAGATCACATCGTGAGTGGGGGTAGCATTGTCATCCCACGCACAAAAATAGGGCTACAGCAGCACTGATCCAAAAGACCATTGTGATGCTTATCTGCATATATGATTGGAGCCCGTATTATTTTAGGACAGCAAAAATGAAAGAGGAACAGAATTTTTAGAATTTCCAAAATATCCTGGCGTTGGGGCGGCTTTCGGGGAGGATTGCCCCGCACAACGCCCCCGGTGGGTAGTTCTGGATGATTGTGGTGTGTGGGCGGGCGGGGTTTATGGGGTTTATGGGGTCAATGGGGTCAATGGGGTCAATGGGGTCAATGGGGTCAATGGGGTCAATGGGGTCAATGGGGTCAATGGGTCAATGGGTCAATGGGGTCAATGGGGTCAATGGGTCAATGGGGTCAATGGGGTCAATGGGGTCAATGGGGTCAATGGGTCAATGGGATACTGGGCTCTCCAAACTTTCCTCTCATATTTATACGGAGCGCCTCTCAAATTATCGTCAGCTTCCCTTTTTTTTCACATCTAGCCTCGCACATCACCAGAGAATATTATTAAAGGCTAGAGAAAAACAATGTCTTCGTCAGAACTGCACCACAGGGGACGGAGATTAAGCAAACGCTACCAAATATAGGAGTTTACACCAACCCAGACCAGAGCACAAGCTGTGGGTTGGAGAGGCCACGCCCTCGCTGGAATCCGTGCAGTCCGGGAGCGACTTGAAGGAAGGGGAAGTGGCTATTGGGATTAAGAGCACAGGTATCTGCGGGTAAGTCAAAAACCATCGGGGCGCAACCACAGTAGCTGACTCTCTCTAGTTCTGATGTCCACTTCAGGCATGCTGGGTGCATTGGCCCCATGATCGTGAAGGACACACATATTTTAGGACACGAATCCGCCGGTGTTATTCTAGCAGTTCATCCATCAGTGGGCAGCCTGAAGGTCGGAGACCACGTAGCATTCGAGCCCAACGTTACCTGTGGAGAGTGCGAGCCCTGCCTGACTGGAAGATACAACGGTTGCGAGAAGGTCGAGTTTCTATCCACGCCACCAGTAACTGGCCTCCTCCGAAGATATGTCAACCACCCAGCAAAATGGTGCCACAAGATTGGAGATATGTCATATGAAGACGGCGCACTTCCGGAGCCGCTGAGCGTAGCTCTGGCTTGTATGGCGCGTGCTGGTGTTCAGCTCGGCGACCCAGTCCAGATCTGTGGTGCTGGGCCAATCGGTTTGATCACGCTGCTGTGCGCCAGAGCTGCTGAGCAGAACCAATTGTTATCACGGATATCGATGAGAGCCGACTGAAGTTCGCAAAGGAGCTCGTTCCATCGGTGACCACCTTCAAGGTCGAGCGAGTGTCTGCTGAAGATTCGGCCAAGGCCATCGTAACTGCGTTCGGTGGTATTGAGCCCGCATACGCTCTGGAGTGCACAGGTGTCGAGAGCAGCATATCCGCAGCCATCTGGGCCGTGAAGTTTGGAGGAAAGGTCTTCATGATTGGTGTTGGGAAGAACGAGATGAACATCCCGTTCATGAGATTGAGTACCCAGGAAGTCGACCTACAGTTTCAATACCGGTACTGCGACACATGGCCGCGGGCCATCCGGTTGGTTCAAGCTGGCTTGATCGACATGAAGAAGCTTGTCACCCACCGTTATGCCCTCGAGGATGCAGTTAACGCGTTCGAGACTGCCGCAGACCCGAAGACAGGCGCTATCAAGGTTATGATTCAGAACGAGTGAGTTGGACGGGCACAGGGATATATGAGTAGATAAGCCATGTTTATGATTATTCCATAGTAATTAATGCCAAATGTAGCACATCATAACATTTCCATGTTGAATTAAATATGTGATGGAGTGGAATTGGTGGGCTTTCCAATCTCGCTCATGAAATTCCGGATGACTAAGCCAAATCTTGGAAGCCGTAGAGCTCCGACCTATAGCGAAAACAACCTGAAAATTGCTCCGCGACATCAACCCATCACTCAATTACCCGCTCAGCACACCACGGGTACCCCGAGAGTCCATCCCCTGAATCTCCCGGCCATATCAGGATATAATGTCGTTGTCAGCGTCTCGCGCCGTGCTCCGGCAATCGGCCAAGTTCACCGTCCGCAACGGTCGCCGATGCGAGTCCACGACTGCTAAAGCCACCGAGGCCGCAAAGGACACCGCGTCCAAGGCGACCGAGCAGGCACAGAACTTCCAGTCGAAGGCTTCCGAGGGTCTGTCGAGGGTCTCTGCTTCTGCTGGGCCGGCTATTAGCGGTGCCGTGAAGGGCCTGGGTAACACCCTCGGGAAGATTGGTGGCCGCACAGGAAGGCTTATTGCTTTCGTCGAGAGTATGTTTATCAGTCGAGACAGTGTGGAAACTGCTGTTGATGGATTTGGATGGTTCAATGGCTGACGATGCACTCTTTAGGACAAATTCCTCCAACCATCTACTACGCCCGCGTCGGCTTGGAACTCTCCAAGCTCGTTTTCCAGTCGCAAAAGATGGCACCACCGTAAGTACTGTCCAATTCTTCGAATATATCGTATCTAGAAAGAAGTAAAGGCAGTAAAACTAACAGGAAGACGTGACAGACCTCTCTCAACTTTCCAATCCGCCTTCCAGCAAGTCGTCAAGAACAGCAGAAACCCATCTGCTTTCTTCCCTAACGTGTCCTTGAACTCCGTCCGCAACATCAGCTGCGCCCAGGTCGCCTCTGGAGCTGTCATCTTCGCTGAGGTCCTCGGTTTCTTCACCGTTGGAGAGATGATCGGCAGGATGAAGCTTATCGGATACAGGGGAGATACTGGTGCAAGCCATTAGGAGACTCTTGATATGTACTCTTGAGTCTGCATTGGTTTGGGTGCTTAGAAGGCAGTGGTAGAGATAGAAGATGTCTGTTTTTACGTTGGACAGGGGAGGGAAGAAAGGATGGAACGATAGATGGGAGACATCGGGCTCAGCATTGCACATACTCTGCGGCCATTTTTCTTGCATCATTGTACACTAAAAGACAATCGAATTATCGTAATGCTATAGCCTCTAGATGTAGCCATTTGGCGAATATGAATTATAGCAAACTGCGAATATCGGTCTTGATCACGGAGAATTGGGCTCAGTTACGGAAATAATAAAACGCCTATAAGGAGAAAATATTCATAGGCCCTGTGGGTTTATAACCGGGCCTAAAATTGACCCATTAGCCTTAAACTACGTCGATTACGACGTGGCTGCCATTTTTATAACTTGTGTTTGAAGCACGAGGCCGAGTTTGTAGGCGAGGCTGAGAGATAAAAAGCTTTGACCGAAAAAAGTTCCCAAACCTCGCAGCTCTCACATAACCCACCAAGGAATACCAGAGTCGATATTCCAATCTACCACTCAAGCTAGAAAGGATGGATATCTTCAAGATCCTTTCGCGGTCTACCAAGCAGACCCGAAAGCCGATTGGCAGGACCCAGTCCCCGACTTTGCCGTCCGCAGGCACCGCGAGCAACCCGCAACTCTACAATGACCCGGTCCCGCAAAACAAGAAGCGCAAGTTTAGTGACAGGAAAGAAGAGGCTGTCCTGAGCGATGTGGACGATGAAGAAATAAACTTCTTCGCGCAGGCGCCGAAAACCGAGCGCAAACAGACGATCAAAAGAGAGAAGAGGAAGAAGGCCGCCCAGATTTTGGCAGAGGCTGCGCTGAGCGACAAGACCGAGACGATCGAACCGACGCTACTCGACGAGGACGAATGCAAAGCGACGCTGCGCTCCCACAGAATAAAAATCACACTGCTCTCCAAGCCGGAGCCGGTGGTGAAGCGCAAGAAGTCCAAGAAGCGCAAGGAGAAGGAGCCGCCAAAGAAGGCGAAGGATGAACATAAGCAGATATACCCGCAGCCTCTGACGGCGTTCGAGGACCTGAAAATGAACTTTGGTATCTCTAAACGGCTGGGGGAGAATCTGAAGCGCGAGGGGTACAAGATTCCTACGGAGGTACAGATGGGCAGTCTACCTCTGCTGTTGAAACCTGAGTTTGCGCTCTCCAACTCAGAGGAGGGGAAGGAGGCGGTGGCTGAGGGGTCTGAGGTAGATCTGTTGACTGTTGCTCCTACGGGCAGTGGGAAGACTCTCGCTTTCTTGATCCCAGTGGTCAACAGCATGATACAAAGGCGGCGGAAGGAGGCAGAGTTATCGCACAGGCTGGAGGCTATTATTGTTGCGCCTACGAAAGAGCTGGCAAGCCAGATTGTTAACGAGGGAAGAAAGTTGGCCATCGGGACTGGCATTAAAGTCGTCGGAATGGTGAAGGGCATGCGAGTAGTTGGAGACAGTGACCAAGTTGTCACCGCGCCGAAAGAGGATGCCAGCGAGAGTGAAAGCGAGAACGAGAGCGATGAAGATGACGAGGCTGATGCCGCAAAACGAGACGCCAAAGCAGCAAAACGAGCAGCTCAGCCTGTTGCTAAAGCTGATATACTCGTCACCACTCCTCTCATACTCCTCCACGCACTCACGAAGCCCGGCTCAAAGGATAGGCTGCCTCTAGAAACCGTGTGCCATCTCATCCTCGACGAAGCGGATGTCCTCCTGGATCCACTGTTCCGTGACCAAACACTCGGAATCTGGGAATCCTGCGTCTCCCCTCTCCTGCACGTATCTCTCTGGTCTGCCACCATGGGATCCTCTATCGAAACCCTCGCCGTCTCTACAATCTCCTCCCGCCGTGAGCGACTCTCACTCCCCGCACAACCCCTCGTCCGCCTCGTCATTGGCCTCAAAGACTCCGCAATCCCCAACATAACACATCACTTAATCTACGCTGCCACCGAACCCGGCAAACTCATCGGCCTTCGCCAACTCCTACACCCCACCTCCCCCTGCCTCGCCTCGCCCTCCGACCCCAAACTCCGCCCCCCCTTCCTTGTCTTCACCCAGACCATTCCCCGCGCCATCGCCCTGCACTCTGAGCTGCTCTACGACATCCCCGCCGAAGCAGGCGGCAGCTCGCGCCTCGCGGTGCTGCACTCTGACCTCTCCGACTCTGCGCGCAGCGCGATCATGTCGCGCTTCCGCAACGGCGAGATCTGGATCCTGATCACGACGGACATTCTGAGCCGAGGCGTGGATTTCCGCGGCATCAACGGCGTCGTTAACTACGATGTTCCGAGCTCAGGGGCTAGTTATATTCACAGGGTTGGAAGGACAGGGCGCGCGGGCCGCGATGGAGGGGTTGCGGTTACGTTTTATACGAAGGAGGATATTCCGTTTGTGAAGCCGATTGCGAATATTATCGCAGCGAGCGAGAAGGCTGCAGGGAAGAAGGAAGGGGAGGGTGTGCAGAAGTGGCTGCTAGATGCGCTTCCAAGCGTGAGTAAGAAGGATAAGAAAGATTTGAAGATGCGGGGAGTGGAAGTCAGAAGGGCGGGGCTGGAAAAGGAGGGCGGGAAGGGAGGGAAGGCGAAGATTAGTACCAAGAGTGGGTATGAGAGGAAGGTTGAGAATAGGAAGAAGGGGGCCGTGATGGGCAGCCGAAGGAGGGCAGAGTTGGAGGAGAAGGGCAGTGATGCTGGTGCTGGGAGTGATGGTGGGAGTGACTTTGGCGGGTTTGATGACTAGATCCAACATGGATAGAATTTCCTCCGTTCAAAATGACCTCTATGCCCATACTTTCTGCCAACAGTGTCTATTCAATTTTCAATTACAGAAGAAAAGCGAAAGTGTCACAAACTACATACTGTATAGTGAGTGCTTCAAATATCACATATGGTCTGTGCGTCTGTGCCTTATAGCAACTCGCGAATCGCGACCTTCACGTCCCCAACACGACAACAACAATGAGCACTCCAACCCCCCCAACGGATGTCCCCTCAAAGCCTCGAGGCCGACGAGGTAAGGAACTCACCCCTGAAATGCGCGCGCGCATCTGCGAACTCCGCAGCATCGGGTGGGGCTACAGAAAAATCCAAGAGAGACACTCCACCATCCCACTCTCAACCCTCGTCTCGACCATCCGTCGGGAGCACGACCGCGTCCGCCAGAAATCCAAACCGCGCAGCGGCGCACCGAAGAAAATCACAGAGGACAAGCGCGATCGGATAGTCGAGATTCCGAAATTTAAGGAGCAGGATACCAAGTTGAAGGATTAAAGTAAGCAGTGTGAGAAAGCGGCGCTGTCGACTGTGAGGAAGGTGATGTCGGAGGTTCGTCGACGATAGCTCCGTTATTCTGCCACTGCGAGCCGCCTTCCAAGCCTTGGGAGGTGGCTTTAAGGGCAGCGTCACCAAGCTTGCACTGGCCCGGATCAGATTATTGAATAATAACGCTTTGTTTGGAACTGAAAGGAAGGTGCCTTTCATAAATATTGGTACATAAGAAAGACTACCTCAAATCCTAAACGACACTTTCCACACGATAACTCAGCTTCCACATACAGACGGACCTGTGCCTGAACAGCCATCCAATCAGGTCAACCAACCAGATCCCCAGCCTCTAGGCCCCCGCCCACCCCGCCCACGTCATCAATGTGTTTTGGCCGCGATCTCAAGGGAGACGGCGTCCAAGAAGACGCTCTGAACGCCCGTCCCGTTTCAGCTCCCAAGGCCACCGCAAGAGCCACCAGCATGTCGTACGATCCTCCCTCCGGCCCGCCGCCGAACTACTCGCATCTAGGCTCAAACAATCCCTACGCTCCCTCTAACGGCCTTTCCGCTCCCCAGAGGACGCAGGAGGAGTATGAGGCGCCTTCTGGGCCGCCGCCGGGGCGTGGTGATGGTGGGTACGCGCCGCCGTCTGGGCCTCCGCCGGGACATGGCTACGAAGCCCCTCCTGGTCCTCCTCCTTCGCAATCGCGTTACGAAGCCCCATCTGGGCCCCCTCCATCCCACGTCGGCGGGTATGAGCCACCTCCCGGACCTCCTCCCTCCCACATCGGCGGGTACGAGCCACCGTCTGGACCTCCTCCGTCTCGCGTAGGCGGGTACGAGTCACCATCTGGGCCTCCTCCCTCCCACGGCGGGTACGAGCCACCATCTGGACCTCCTCCATCCCACGGCGGGTACGACGCACCCCCTGGCCCACCCCCTTCCAAAAAGCTAGAAGAAGCAGCTCCATATCACGACTGGCAAACCGCAGTCCCCGACACCTCTCTGCTCCCCCCTCCCCCCTCCTTCGGCGAGGATCGCAGCAGCGCTAACAACGCCACCGAGTCCGAAGCCGACCGCGGCGAAACCTGGTGTAGGGCGCGCCCACTCATCGCCCCTGCGCAGCTCACCCAAGCGACCATCAGCGCCGTTGATGACGGGTTTGTAGACCTAATGCGGCCGTCGCAGTACGTTGGGTCGGTGCAGAAAACGCGCAAGGGGACGTGGGTGTGCGCCTCGAAGCGCAAGTCGCCTGACAGCTGTCTCGTGTCCACTGTGCCGCTTTACAGCGTGCTAGCGCACTCACCCATGTCGCTGCGGCGGTCGAAGACGATCTACTTCGAAGTTGCGATCTCGCCGCGCAACCGCAGCGAGGTCAGCATAGCGCTTGGCTTTGTGGCCCAGCCGTTCCCGCCCTTCCGCCTGCCTGGGTGGGAGAGGGGGAGTCTGGGGGTGCATGGAGATGATGGAAATAAGTATATCAATGACTGTTGGGGCGGGAAGGGGTTCACGGACCCGTTTAAGCCGGGGGAGACGATTGGACTGGGGATGGTGTTGAAGCCGAAGAAGTCGGATGCGCCGCCGTCTTACGGGGAGCCGCAGCCAAGGGAGGTGGTGGATGTGGAGATCTTCTTGACGAGGGAGGGGGAGAAGGTTGGGCAATGGGATTTGCATGAGGAGGCGGATGCGAGCCAGGATCGACTGGTGACGGGGTTAGAGGGGGGGCATGATTTGTTTGCGGCGGTGGGGACGTTTGAGGAGGCATCGTTTGAGGTGAGGTTTGATTCAAAGGATTGGATGTATGTGCCTTCGTTTTAAGTCTATAGAGTCTATTTGCGAGGCGAGGAGCGAGGGGGATAATATGAGGTTGGAATAGACTATATATTACGGGTTTACTTATCTCTTTCTGACGGCGACAGTTACGTCGGGGGCTTTATCACAATTAGAAAGCTTACACCTCATCTCCTCCACTCTTCCAAAGATACGCCCGCAGAGTTTGCAGAAATCAGCTTTCCTTATTGCTCAACTACACTGAACACTATCTCTTAGGTTCTCATTAAAGCCGTGCCAGGCTGGCATCTTAGGCCACGAACGAGCGCTTGGTAGTGCCCTCACGGTATACCTTGAGAGAGTTGATCAACCAATATGCTTCCGTGAACGCCGACGGAAACCACCACCCTACATAATGACCCTTATCAATTGTAATTAATTCCTGGCGCCTCTCGCACGTACGGGCATTGTGCCCCGTATTACCACATAGTCCACAGCGGCGCTGTCGGCCTGTAGAACCTGCCCGCTGAGTAGTCTAACTTGCCACCTCTGTATGGACTTGCATATTCCTTGCAAGTAGCGGCCTTTGCACTGCACTGAGGGAATGATGACCACACGGCTCCACTACCATGTGTTAGCACATATCAGTAGCTAATGCATCAGTGGACTTTATCACTTACGCCCAGCCACAAAATATAAAGCGGTTGCTCTTAAAGTAAGTGGCGAAGTCGCAGCCCCCAGAGTCCACGAAGTAAGTCAACGGCTTGCCCCAAGTCGATGGGTCCGGGGTCCCCGCCGTGATGTCTGCCGGGATGCTGGCGTGGGGAAAGAACCAGATCGAATACCCTTCGTCGTCCACTGCGTGGCATACGCGCCGCCCTTAACAGCATTGAAGCCGTCCCCGTAGGCCTGGCATGTCGGCGATGTCGGTGATGAAGAGGCCGGTGGTGAAGTAATCCGTTGATTCGACGCGAATGGATTGGCGGCCGTTGGTGGTGTTGTTTGTTATGCTGTCGGCGCCGAGATACACCTAACCGTTCCGGATGCCTGCTAGGGACTTTGCCTTTGCGGTTGCCGCATCCACATACTCGACAAATCCACTTGATGGGTCGGTGATGTTTTCGAGTTGGAGCTCGTCGAAAAAATTAGAGGCGTTGTAGGTCTTGAGGAGTGAGTAATTCGCTGCAACTATATTTGAAAGCAACTATATTTGAAAGCACAAGTGTAGCAATGCCAGTTAGGCTGGTGAGACGGGCCATTCTTAAAAGTCTAATTAGCTGGACAGGAGGGTCAAAGTATTCAAAGCCGCAATGATTACTGTACTTAATTCATGGGTATACGATGCCTTTCTTATACACCTCTTCCTGGGGTTTGGTACTACAGCACACGCCATCACAGTCAGATGGAAAGAGTAAACTGAGCAGCCCGCCACAGAATCTCTCTTACGACTTACTAGAGATGTTACGTTGCTAATGGCTAGGGTAGACTCTCTTGCATACAAAGCTAAAGAGACTTTATTTTTTAATATGCCATGTTGAATATAGTTATAACATTGGATTGTCCAAACGCGGGGGTTCGGAAGCGCGTGGTAATGGTGGTGATGGTGGCATATGGGCTAGCAAATAAAGACCTTAATCGGCGGGGAAATACACGCCAGGTCCTGAACAAACTAATTGCGCCTCTGGATATTTAGCAACGTGACATTTAATGTATATGCATACTGCTGGTGTCCCTTTTGGACGATCCTCTCTTGCCAAAACAGGTAATTATGGAAGCAGAGAGGCGGGCAGAAGGAGAACTGTTGTCTGTAAACTTGTAAATTGAAAATTACTGTGAGGTGTAGTGGACACGCCGAAGTTGACGCTGAGAAAACACTCTACTGTCTCTTATCTCAGAGTCCCCGTGTGCTTTCGTATACTGGCGGTGACAGCATGGTGCCAGTGATGCCAGTAACAGCAACATGCCCCATCCCTACACCTCTCAGCATAATCCAGCCGCTCCTCCAACCTTCAAGTCCCGCATACACCTGTCAGGAAATTCTGTATTTTCGGCTCACATGGTCATTCACATCCGGCACAGTCTATCTGTCGCAGCTGTATCATTCGTTAGGGGACCCTCCTCGAGAATTGACTGGGTGGATTCCAAGCTATGCCTTTGGGAATCTTGGGACTGCGTTGAAATGATAGATGCGGTTGGTGTCGCAGGGACAGGAAGACTACTCGATTCTTTCGAGGTAATTCTCTAGTTTAAGAGGTTCAGGCGGCGGCCACGAATGAGCAGCATGCAAAAAAAACAACAACAAAGGTCCAAATCGACCAGCTGTTTGAGGAAATCATGCAATTATACAACTCCATGTCTGATGTGGGTGGTACCGCTAAGAGATATGACTAGGAATATGATAATGGTGGTGACGGCAGGAGTGAGCGACAGTGACAGTGCAACGGTGACAGTAACAGTAGCGACGGTGACAACCCTCCCCCCACCCAAGCCCAACATCCCCCGATCTCACATCGAGGATATACGAGCCGGATCCAACCAAATGCAGGGCAATACTCTTCGACTCCGTTGTCTAAATCAAGTGGACTTGTTCATTATATAGGACGAGAGAAACAATATTTCTCACAGGACGCAAGTTCGAGGATCTGGTAGGCGGCGTAAGGGATGTAGATATCTTGGAATGATAGATGGCGTAGGTTGGGGTTTGGGTCCCGGGCGGGGCAGGGAGACGACTCGATTTTTTGGAGTTAGTTCCCTAGTTAAAGGCTCAGAGGGCGGACACGAATGGACACAATGCATCCAGAATACGTACAACAGAACCTGAGGAACCGGCTGTCTGGAAGAATATACGATTATACAACTCTATATCTGATATGGGTGGTACCGCTAAGAGGTATGACTACGAGTAATATAATGGTGGTGACGGCGGCAGGAGGAGGGTGACAGCATCAACAGTGATAGTATCAACAGTGATAGTATCAACAGTGACAGCATCGACAGTGACAGCATCGACATTGATATCCTCGACATTGAGAGCAGCAACACCAACAACGACGTCCCAACAACCTGAAGGACGTACAGCGTCCTGTAGACGAGCCCCATGTTTCAAACATGCTCCCAGTTATCGTTTCGTAGTCGAAATATCCGTCGTTGATGCTTCTGAGAATGCTAGGGTCTTTAACAAACTCGGGGTGTCGCTGGAAGATAGTTGAAGAGAGAGGATGGGGCTGAGACTTGTGAAATACGATGAGGCGAGGCTGTTGAAACAGCTCCCACTGCATGCATGTCCATCCCGCCGGCCCTTGGTTGCCAGCAGCGATAGGGTGCTCATCAACAAGAGTAAGGAAGGGAGGTATGAAGGGGGTATCCGGCTTCCAACAGAGAAAGTGGTGGATGTAATGGGCCCTGGAAAGATAGGATGAAGCCTGGTTGGTGAAGGGTGGGTGAGGGAAAATAAGGGTATGTATGGGAGAGAGGGGTGAAATAAGTAAAGTGAGATCCGTGGGTGGTCGTGACAGCGGAAGAAGAAATGGTGGATGAGACCTGTATGAATATTGAGATTGATGGGCACGCCTATCATCACTCACATATCACTCGCCTCTCCAGCCCTCCAAAAGAAAACCAGCCCAACCTAAACTCACCTCACCCCACTCAACACCCCTCCATCCGTACACCGCATCATATCACAATCACACAAAAGCACACACTCACACACTCTCTCTCACTCATCCCAATCTCATGATCATGAATGTTTGTTTGTTGCAAGTTCCATTAGCACCGTTGCCCTGGCTCTAGACAATGCAAGAAACAAAAGCTCCCATATCTCGCCCCGGATACAACAAGACACCGCAGGAAATAAAAAACAAAGTGTGTCCCTTTTTAACGCGCGACAGCACACTGTGCATTTACTCCTCCTCCACAACGTTGCCCTTCTCCGACACGTAGAGACCGTCCAGGAACTGTACAGCAAAAAAACGTTAGCATGCATGGCCTTTTTTCTGCAGGGATTTTTTTCGCCAGCGTTTGCATATCTCCTACCAAGGAGGGCTGGTGAGGGCTGAGGGAGGGAGGGAGGTTGATAACGCACCTTACGGATATCCTTGTTCCTCACTTTGCACATTTGCTGGATATCAGCCGCAGACTGAGACACGTTCTCGATCGAGTTACCCGACAACTGCAGCTCATCCTTCTGGTTCTTGCTAGCCTCGACCTCGACACCCGGCTGCATGACAATCTTGCGGACGATCTTCTCGCCGATAAAGTTTCTGATCTCGACCTCGTAAAGGCCGGTCTCGGAGTTCTCGTTGACGTTGACGTTGATGGGGAAATGGGCGTAGACGTAGCGCATCTTGTACTTGAAGCCCTTGGTGACGCCGGTGATCATGTTGTTGATCAGGGTGCGGACTGTGCGGAGGGTAGCGATATTCTTGCGGGCGCCGTGGTGCAGCTCGATGTTGATGAGGCCCTTCTTGGGGTAGGAGAAGTTGACGGCGAGATGGGCGAGGTCCTTGATGAGCTTGCCGCGGGGGCCCTCGACGGTCACAAGGCGCGACTTGATGACGACCTTGACTGTAAGAGAAAGAGAGATGTCAGCGCTCTGCTCGTGAAATTCCATAGCACTGTACTGCCTGGTTCAAGATCGGATTTCCAGATGCAATGCGTGCCCTCGCTGTCCCCGTCGTTTCCCTCCCTCGTCGTAGGTCGTATATCGTATAATATCCTCCCACAATCGCAACTTCAATTCGGTGGGCACGCATCTCAACACCCTTCAATCCCTCTCTCCCCCTTCCTCCCAGGAATCGGACAAGGGCAAGACTCACCACCCTCCGGCACGTCAAGGGTCTCGTTGGAATGAATGTATCTCATCTTGACACGTTAGCTGGGCGCTTTTGTCGATGAAATGTCGCTGGGTGTAAAGCGTCTCGCGGTGAAAATGAAGATTTGACCCAAAATGTGTGTGCGGCACGCCAAGAGAGCTAAGCGAGCCTGACAAGGGTCGGGAATCGGAAAATGTTCTGACTCTAATCAGGTGATGATGTATGGGTTTTTGGAGCTAGCGCGCTTCTGGAATATCGAGGTTGATGACGGGCCCTAACCCCTACAGTTTCATGGCACGTCGATAGAAGTTGAACTTTAGCTTCAGAACTCGATCTTTAGCAATAGAGTAGTTTTAACGATTATAGGAGTAACATTGTCTGAATTATGCTCGTCTTACTACCTACTACATACCGCTATATTACTTGACATACCTTACAGCTACACTTCACATACTTAATACTTGGCACTTCAGTCACATCACTCGAATCAATCATAATAAAGCACATCAAAAGTGAAGAACAACAAAGATCTTCATTGCCATCTCTCTATACTACTCATATCCATCCCCTCATCCTCAACACCACACAATCCTCCCTCCTCAAAACCCCCAAGCCGGCTCGCTAATCTCTTCAGCGGCACACTCCACACCATTAACCCCTCGAAAGGAAAAAATGTCTTCTCGTGCGAGCTCGAAAATAAAAAAGGTAGTCATAAACGTCGTGTCCCAGCCCTCAGCCAACAAAAGGCTCAAAAAAGGCATCCATGCAAACCCGCTTCTCCATCCCTCAGATGTTCTCATCCGCTGCGCGAAACACATCATTCCTTTTTTCCCAATTTGTGCAAAAACAGTTGCGTTTCCCCCGCTAATTTCCCTCCCAACCCAAGCCTGCTACAAACCCGCTAACCCCATGTACATTAATACAAGAAAGGGAAAAGAAACCCCTCTAGCCATGCAAAAAAAGCCCTCAGCAGGTAATCCATCCAAGCCATCATCCAAGCCATCATCCAAGCCATCAGCATCTATTAAACTCCGGTTTAACAAAATAAACTCCGTGTTCGCCATAGTAAAACAAAAAAAAAAAAAAAGCGTTGCATGTAGACCCGTGTTCTGCGCTAATATTAAGTAGTGTTTAGAGCAAATTGAAATGCCGAATTGCTGAAACTTGTTGATGAGGAGGGCATTCGGTTCCCTTGGTAGGCGGACAAGTGTGATGTGGTGGGGGAACAGCGCAAGGTTGGCAGCTAAAAACGTCAGATCATGTCTGTGAAAGTGAAAGGAAATGGGGCCATACACTGGCCATAATCCGGATGTATCAGAGGGAGCCGCCATAAACTTTCCGAGAAATGAACATGCGAGAATAACGGAAAGAACTATGTAAATTCCCACGACAATCAAGCCACAACTCAAAACAAAGAGCGCAATATTCAGTGCAAGTTCCTTTAAGAACGCCCCAATGTCTTGCATCTTTTCTGTCCAACTTCGCGGTACAGGGAGAGGATCCATGGCTTTTCTGCGGAACTTAGATGTATTCTGGAGATGTACGTCGTTGTTTTGATCTTGCGGTACCATTGCGTTGTTGTTGTTGTTTTTGTCGTCCATAGTGGCGGTAGGATGGATTTAAATGTTGACTTTGTGTTTTGGAAGGCGCGTCTATGGCTTCCGTTATTTCCTTATATATGATAACTTAGCCTTAGCACTAAGGGGTCCCAATAGAAAGGTACCATGTGTTTTCGCCATATGTAAAAAAAAAAAAAAAAAAAAAGTAAGTCGTGAAGATCGAGGCAGCCTCCCAGCACAATGCGGGGGCGCAACGCAACTCGAGATCATGGAGGACACCAGAGAGATGGTGGTGCCTTCGAATTTGGTCCAGATCCTGCGTTGCTTTTTGGTGTGTCAGAGATCGAAATCATGATTCTGGACAATGGCGCTTGATAACGTAAATGCGCGCTTGGAAATTTGAACGCTTGAAAACATGAGAAACTTTTGTTGTACTTTTTTTTCTGACCGAACACCGAAAAAGACCAGTTGCAAGTGAGGTCCTAGAGTGGAAGCGAATTTTTGTTTTGAGCTTTTGATGTGCACGCTCAAATGAGCATCCGTGGTGTTCAATGGTCGGAAGCCGACGGCTTACTTAACCAGCGACAGTTTGCTGGCCGTAAGTGGGCATGAAGTACGAGTCGGTTGGGCGACCGCAGTAGCCGCATCCGCACCCAGCGTGGTGACCCCAGAGGTTCTGGGAGTAGTGGCTGTGGTATGGAGTCTGATACGGAGTGGTCTGGGGAAGCGCGTACGAGACGTGAGTCGATGGCTGCTGGTTTCTCCTGTTGTAGAAGGCATCATAGCCGTACCAGTCGGTGGGTGGCAGGCCGGAGTTTGGCAGCATCATCCACTCTGGAGTGTTTGGGCCAGACTCGGGAGCGGAAGGAGGAGACAGCTCATGTGGTGCTCTGCCCTGTGCCCATGAAGTTTGTTCATATTGGGGCTGAGTAGGGACATGGTACGCGGAAGGTGGGTGGTTCTCGTTGCTGCCTTGGTTGAAGCTATACGATGCAGATGTTGGGGAGTACGGCTTGCGCTGACCATGGTTGCGCTGAACGTTGGTGTCGATAGCGGCAAGAGGTGCGAGACGCTCGAGGGTCGCGTTGCGCTGCTTGTTCTTGGTCTCCTTCCAGCTGGCCCACGAGGCGAGCCACGAGTGGAAGTCGGTGTCGGTGACGGGATCGACGTGGAGGTTCCACTCGATTGCCTGCAGCCACTCCTTCTCGAGCGAGTTGAGCTCAGAAACAGCAATGCCGCTGACCTCTGACCAAGATCTGTTCTGGAAGGTGTTGTCGTCGAGGAACTTACTTCCCAGGAGCAGAGCGATGGTCAGCATGCGCCAAACCTGTCCGTCGGTGGTCTTTCGAGGCGTCGGACTGTTGAGCATGCTCATGCGGCGAGCGAGGTAGTTCATTCCCAGCAAGATGGTTGAGCTCGGGAGGCGAGTCGAGGACAGGAGACCAGAGACGAACTTCCGGAAGGCCGGGGAGACTTTCGAGCCAGGCATAACACTTCGGGCGAGGTCAATATCTGCAAGGCGGATGTGAGGAGAGCATAGGAGAGCATACATTGATTGGGCCATGTCTGAAACGTAGTCGGTCATCTGATCCATCTCATAATCCAACTCCTGAGCGACGCCGCCAGTGATCTTCTCCTGCTTCGCAGGGGGCTGCTGAGGGCGTCGCTCGAATCTCTGCGCGGCGTTGTGGCCAGAGGCGTCAACGGGGCGGTCAGAAATGGGAGCTGGCAAGATCGGGGCAGCGATTGGTCCGTAGGATTGGTTAGGCATGCCCGGGGCAGCAACTGAAGGCATGTTGTTGTAGTGCATTGGTGGATGCTGGTACATCAGTGGTGCGGGAGGGGCGGCGTATGATACGCCATCATACCCATTCTTCCTGCTGTTCTGGTTGTATGAAACTAGTCCAGTGTTGCGGTATCCGTACATTGCATGGCCTGAGTCCGGCGGTGTAATGAGCCCCGCGCGGGGGTGGTTGTAGAAGTTCGGCATGATGAGCGAGTGGGAGGGACTGAGTGGAAAGGATGATAGATTACTATCTGTAAGACTGTCAGCATAATCCGAAGGAGAGCAGTGTATCGCAGCGACTAACCTGTCCTTTCGCAGCTCTAACAGAACTGAGCGACAAGAGCGAAAGCTCTATCCGGAGCGAAACACTCAAAAAACTTGTTCTATTGTCTCGTCGACATGCGTGTGTGGTTCTTCAAATGTATGTTTGGTGCGGTAGTAAGAGCGATAGCTGAGAGTAGATATAGTATTTGATCTGTTGTTTTCGAGATCAAGCAGATATCGGTTTGCTTGTGGTTGCTTTGTGTTGCGTATTTGCTTCGAGATGTTGTGTTGGAGATCGACGACGAGGGCAAGACTTAGCTAAAAGCTCACCAGGTTCGTAGTATTCCAGAAAATCAAACGTGTGATTAGGAGGCGTCCTCGGAACTCTCGAATCAGAGGGGAAGGGAAAATGTGCCGCTTAAACGCTTGCGTGTTGTGGCGATAAGGTTTCCGTTTCCGAGTTGAAGAATGCGTATATCAAATTCAGGGAATGGGCGGAAAGCGAACGGGCTTTGCAAAGGGAAGTTGCTCGTGCCGGAGATGAAGGTGTCGGTCTGAAAGTGATGCAAGAATCTGCCTAGTAGCTGATGAGGGTCGTATAACGTAAATCCAGGGACTAGCTGGTTGGTTCGGAGGGTGAGGTCAGAGGCGGTGTTGAGAGGCGACTGTTTGTTCACACGACCAGTAAGCGTAAGCTGACACCCGGAGAGTATACCTGGCGGACTGGAGCAGGGACAGCGAGTTGAGTGTAAAGTGAATTACACAACGTATTGTGAATCTGAAGTCGTTGCAGAAGGGCCAGGTAAGAGCAGGTCGGAACGCTGGTCCGGCCGATGGGGGGGGTTGAAGGAAGAAAGGGTTGAAGGTTTTGGGTGATCCAAGAAGGCGTGGTAACAGATCCCAAGTGTCCGAGGGTTATTTTTGATTGACAAGCCTCACAACAAGAAAGCACCAAGACGTAACCGAGGGCGAAAAGTGGTCGTGTGAAGGGTCGCGAAGGAGGGTTCGGAGGCGGCACGAAGAGAAATTTTTCTCTTCCGTTGTGGTCGAGGGCAAAAAAAAAACAAGAGGATGACGATGTGGGCGGGCGGGAGAGAGGAAAAGATGGGAGAATGGAGCAAGAAGTCGTGGGAGGCAAAAAGCAAGAGTCGCTCAGAGGGTCGGAGGTTCGGTCGGATAGAAGGGGAGGAGGGGACTGGGAGTAGAAGAATGTAGAGTGAAGGTAGTGGATAGTCAAGGTAGTCAAGGTAGTCGAGAAGGTAGTCAAGGTAGTCAAGGTAGTCAAGGTAGTCAAGGTAGTCAAGGTAGTCAAGGTAGTCAAGGTAGTCAAGGTAGTCGAGAAGGTAGTGGATAGTCGACAAGGTAGTCAAGGTAGTCAAGAAGGTAGTCGATAGTCGATAGTCAAGGTAGTACAGTACGGCGCCAAAAGGTTATGGGGAAAGCACAGACCCGTACGGAAAACGTATGGCGCCGTAGTGTAGTAAGGTAAGAGTATTGTAATAGTGGCCCAGTAACCCCCGGTAGGTCCCAGAAACCAGCGATGACGAGTTGAAATGAGGTGGTGGAGGGAGGGAGAGGAGTGGAGGGAGGAGGAGTGGAGGA